CCATCTTCTGTTTCACTCCCCAAATGTGTTCTAAGCCAGGCCTGAGTCAGGCCAAAGCCTGAAGCCAGGAACTCAATCTAGGTTTTATACATAAGTGGCAGGGACCCAACTACTTGGGCCACCACCTGATGCCTCCCAGGGTCCGCATTAGCAGGAAGCTAGAAGAGGGAGCACAGCTGGGACTCAACTCCAGGCACTCCTGTATGGAATACAGGTGTCTTAACCAGCATCTTAACCACTGAGCTAAATGCCCATTCCATGTAAAAAAAAAAATTTTTTTTTAAGTTACAAAACAGAGTGAAATCCTATTTTTCAAAAACTTGCAGCATTTATATCTAAACATAGACACTTTTAAAAGTCTAGAACTACATAAACCAGAAAAAATATATATATATATATTGGCAATCTCTGATATGAATTGTCTTCAAGTTTTTTCATTTTTTCTTCATTTTTGATGATCATATGCATACATCTTGATTTATCATTATGAGCTAAAATAAAGTATTTCAAAAAAGAATATGGCAATTAGATATTTGCCTGCCCTTGGTTTGTGGGGTAGGGAGGTAGAAAGTGAGAGGAGATGTACAGAGAACTAAAACTCCATGTCTCTCCAACAGTGGCCAGGTTGGCCACAGCAGGAGTGTCCCGGGCAGCCCAGCACGCAGAAGACTCCGGATCTATCCCAATAACCCCACTGTCATTGCTCACTCCAATTCCTCATGATTTGCTAGAAATGTGCAGTTGGTTGAGCCCCAATTTAAAAGGCAAAAGAGGAAACTTGGGTTACTTCTCAGCACTGTTCTTGGACTACAATTGGCCTGGTCCAATCCTAAGTACCCTGAAGGAAGGCCAAAGGGGCTTTTCACTTTCCATTAGAGCCACCCACAAAAGATGAGCAAGCTAAATGTTCAGGAGTTTCCCTAAAGACAGCCGTGCTACCAAGTTCCTATAAAATCATCTCCCATCACCACTTTGCTGCCTCAGACCCCCAAGAAAGCAGAACTGGGACTGGCCTTTTTCAAAGCACTTGTCCTGAGCACGCCATACTCCTTCCAAAAACATCAAGAAAAATCAGCTCTCTGGGGGCAGAGACACATGAAAGGGGAACTGCTCTCAGCAAGTCAGGAGATGATGACTCCCTAACAACATTATAGAGAAATCATCATTTTTTTCCTCAAGGCTCACCTTCATTTCAAATAAGCACAGCTTAGGGTCACATTACTCAATCCCTGTAGTTGGTATAAGTGGTATGACTGAATAAAGTCTACCATCTAAATTCTGGCTCTTCTTGAACTGCCCATATGGCAACTTTCCAGAATCTTTGGCCTCATGAGTTATCATTATTGCAAGTCAGCTGTTTTTGGATGAAAGTCTTTAGATGTATTCAAGGGAAGATAATAAAACACACACATCAAAGGAAAAGAGGGAGCAGCTCACCTGGCTGAGGGAGAGGAATGTGCACAGCGTGGCCCTGAAGTGGTCCCTTCCCACCATGGGAAAGGGGGCTAAGGCACAGCTCAGCACAAAGTAGAAAGCTCAGCTGGAAGAAAGCTGAGAAAAGTAGGGAGGAAAAAACCCAAATGCCTACCAAAACAAACAAACCCACCCAAAACACGCCTTTCAACATTTGGTACTGAACAAAATATTGTAGGCTGTTTTTTTTTTTAAAGAAATCTCTATTGTATTGGAATGAAATTGATATTTTGAAATTTGATGATTGTTTACAGTCCTTGTCTCTACTGCAGTGTTTTTTTCTTCATACTTGTCAAACTCTTTACTTAGTGTAGGGTTAACCTTATGAGTATAAAAGTAAACTGGGGACTGGTGCTGTGGCACAGTAGGTTAATCCTCTGCTTGTGCGCTGGCATCCCATATGGGCACCAGTTCGAGTCCTGGCTGCTCCTCTTCCAATCCAGCTCTCTGCTGTGGCCTGGGAAAACAGCAGAAGATGGCCCAAGTCCTTGGGCCCCTGCACCTGCATGGGAGACCTAGAGGAAGATCCTGGCTTCTGCCTTCGGATCTGCTCAACTCCGGCCATTGCAGCCATTTGGGGAGTGAACCAGACGATGGAAGGCCTTTCTCTCTGTCTCTCCTTCTCATTGTCTGTAACTCTACCTCTCAAATAAATAAATAAATAAATAAATTCTTTTAAAAAAATTAAAGTAAACTGAAAAGAGATCTTTGTAAAAATTGAGTGGGAATAGAAGAGGGAGGAGGAAGAAGGGTAGGGCATGGACAGGAGGAAGGGGAGAGGAGGAAGTATCACTACGTTTCTGAATCTGTATATATGAAACTTATAAACTTTAAAATTTAAGAAAAAAAAGAAATCCGGAAATGGACTTCCTTTCCTCTAAGAAGCCCTTGACATGTGACACAAGAGCTCACTGCAGAGTGATGTCACTCTTCAGAACCGACACGTGGAACTTGAGCTCCAGACCTCCGCTAAAGAGTGCAGCCTGGCTTCAGGGCAGGGTGCCTTGAACTTGCACAGCCTGAAGAGTTTTCTTTGACCACAATTTTAATTTGAAAATGGTAACCACAAGAAGCCACCTGGTTTTTCCACTGCATTTTAACAGTTGTCCTATTCTGGGTTCCACTTCACTGACAGAGAAGAGATAGCCAAAGAGAACGGCTTGTGACTATGATCATTCCTAACTTTCGGTTCTGTATTCTCTGTTCAAAATGTGTTTCCCAACCCTTTTCAATTGCTTCAGGGAGATATTTTGTATCTACTATTTTCTTTTTTAGAAACAACACTTCCTCTTTGGAAGAAGAGACTGTGGCCACTGCCAACACTTCATCAGGGTTTATCAATCTTCTGATCCAGAAGGCTGAAGAGAGCTGTCATGCTCACCAAGGCCTCTGAATGGGAATGATCAGGGGAAGCCCGGGAAATGTGCCTGTTCTCCAAGAGCTCGAAACACAGCACCTGTTGATGGACGGCTTATTAAAGGCCGGAAGATTCCCAGCAACAGGAGTTCAACTTTGAGATGGGAAGAGGAAGATGAGCTCAAATCTCAAGAGACCTCTGACTCATCAAGAAGAAGCTGCTAAATTTCTCAAAACTTGTGCTGTTTGCTGAGCACTTCGCAGAGGAGCTAAGCAGTTTCCTGAAAGTGTGAAGTCCACATTCCACTTCTGGGGACAGCTCCTTGCGGTTGGCCCCTTCTGCACACAGAATCAGAATCTGCATCTTCATAGCCATAGACAAGCTCTCCCACTTCTCTTACTAACCCTTTCTTTCATTTTCAACGTACACGGGCACACTCTTCTGTCTCCACCAGTGCTGAACAACCACACATTTATCTATTTCTGACGGAAAGCCTTCAAAGGCTGTTTATTTGCACACAGAAGTGTGTGTCCCTTATTGTAATCATGGGAGCTGCTTCTGAAGACACTTGATATGATTAAAGAAAAAAAAAATTGAGCCCTAAAGGAAATGTGTTAAGAAAAATACTAGAGTCAAATAAAAATGGAGGTTATACACCACACCCACCATAAGCGCAAGTCCACTTACCAGCCCAGCCAGCACCGGGTAAATAAACTCAGAGTATATTTGCATCTAGGGCTAAGGCGGAGGGAAGGAACATTTAACTGCTTACCACCCGGCCCATTACAGGTCAGCACCTCAGTGTGACCAGAGTTGTTAAGTTACAGGACATCAATCATTTCTGTGTGACAGCCACAGTTATCCAGATGTCCAAAAAGTTGTACCAAAGTTATGTTCTCAAAACTGGCCTTTCAAAAAAGTCTACCAAAAAAATTACAAGAAGTCTTCAAAAAGATCATGGAAATGAGCATTATGGAAAAATTATGCATGGATTTCAATTTTTGCAGCAGTCAGCTTATCTTTTCATTCCAGTTCCCATGAGCTTTTTGAAATACTCTGATATATCTATATCTATATTTACATCATTCTTGCTGGGAAATAAGCAAATTCTCCTCTTGAATTCTGGTTTCCCTTGCTAAAATTAAGTCTGTTTATAACACGGGGAGCAGCACGCAGGAAAGTCTCAACACTATTTTAAGAAAGTCTAACCACGCTCCACTGTAGTTGCATTGAGAACTGGGAAAGGGGAAGCCAAGGCGGGTTGGTTCACACCACCTGGTTCGCTGAGCTTGGGTGGATGGAGCTTGGACCAAGGAGGCCAGGCCCCTTGGCAGCGCTCCGGGCTGAACTGTGCGCCTTTTCATGAAGGCACAGGAACTGGAGCTAACCACACTCCCACCTGAGAAAAAGGCCTGTGTGTTTCGGAAAGCCAAGCCCTGCCTTATGTAACTACGTGTAAGCAGTTCATAGAAGCGAGCCCGAAGCAGCAAGAAAGCGCTGGTCTAGGACAGCAAAGCGACTTTAAGAGGACTTCTCCGAGTCCAATACCCTGAGAGCGGCCAGCTCCGATGGCTCCCCTGACCGTGAACCTGGAAACATCTGATCCTGTCTCCAGGTTCCTTGCCCAGGAAAAAAGGATCAGACTGTCTATCGCCTTCTAAAACTTTTCACCGCTCAGGGGATTGGGAACAGGAAAACCCATTCTCTTCACACCCATTCCAGCCTCTCTGGGAAATGTCCCCTTCCAAGCCGGGCCTCCCTTCTCTTACCTTTCCTGACAGCCGCCCGGTGCGCGCTGATCCCGGCGCAGAAAGGCAAGAGGCAGAGCACTCGGTGCGCACCCGGAGGGACGCGGAGCGTGGCCAGGCGTCCCCGTCCCGCCCCAAGTCACCACCTCCGCCCCGCCGCCCGCCGCCCGCCGCTGGCTGAGCCAGGAGCTTCTCGACTTGCTGCACCGAGGGACCTTTTCCACGTGTCAGCAAGCCGGCCTCTCCGCACTCCCAGAGGCGGGGGGGGGGGGGGGGGGGCCCCGAGAATTAACCCGGGGGTGGACGGTAGGGGATGGAGTCAAGGTGCCGGCGCGCGAACACGCGTGGAAGGAAAGCGGGCGTGGAAGGGCTGGTGGGATGGAGAGGTTGCGTAACCCCGGCGCGCCCCTGGGGTGGCTGACCTGTGGCGAGGGCCCTGGGACAGGCCCAAGGCTCGGTTCCACGCGGGTAGGTCCATCGTCTCCACACCTCCAGGCATAGCTTAGCCCACGAGTCGCAGGAGAAGGACACCGAGCTCGGGACGGCAGCACCTGCCTCCGCCCCAGGATCGGGTGCTGCCGCGCTCGCATACGGGCGCCCTGCCCTTTGGCCCGCCCACTCCAGATCCGGGGCGTCTGCCAGGAGGTAGCGCAGGCGAAAAGCGTTTTATTAAGGGAACGGCGCTGCCCGTGCACCCTGAAGCCCGCCCCGCGGCGGCCGCGCCCGGCACACCCAGCCCTCGGCGGGGCCCTCCTGCGCGCCTACGCCACTTTCTCCGTACTTGTCCGCACATTCGGTGCGTTCCTTCTGCAGCCGCCTGTCTGCCGATTTGTTGCTTCAAATCCGTACGAATGCGTTCGGGAAACACTCGCTGCCTTCCCAGCCGAGGGTGGGTACCGTGTTCTCTCACATGCCAAGCATGCGGCCCTCTCCCCTGAGGACTTCACACTGAACTGGCACGTTTGTCCATCCCCCGCGTGTCTGCGTGCTGAAGTACATGGACGCACTCAGACACCTAGCGTGATTCCGGGATGTAGAAAGCGCGCCCGGCGCCCAAGGAATGGAAAACTGGATTGTGCTTGGCTCACGTTGGCAAGCTGGAGCGGGCACCTTGCGCAGGGAGTGCCGGCCCGCGTGGCCCGGGGGCGCGCGCGGAGCCAGGGCACAAACCCACCCCACGCGGGGCGGCCTCAGTATGGACAGGGATATGCCACTCCTGTGCACATGAGGCAGACGCCTGTGGGAAACCGGACAAGACCATCGGCCACTGCTCGTGAATCCTAGATTGGGACATTGCGGGCTCACGGTCCAAGCGCCAAGTTCATCTGAAGGTGCTGGTGACAGCGGTGACGCAGGGAAAGCTAGTTCAGAGGAATCCTTCCCCCACTGCTCACTTGGGCGCAGGTCAGCAAAGTCCCAAGTCCAGGCTACCTGGGCCAGCAAGTGTGTAGAGTCTGTGGCTTTAGTTGAGGCGAAGGATACTCCTCCAGGTAATCAATCAACACTGGTCCATGACTCCAGGTAGGAGCAGCTGGACACAGTGGTGTATATGAACTCGTACAAAACTGCCCTGCTTTTGAAAATCACTGCCAAGGACCTCTGGTGGGGGGAGAGGGGGCTCCATTCTAATGCTCCTTTCATCGGAGGTGCCCACTGGGTACAGAGAGCTGGAAGAGCCTCTGTGCAGTCACAGCTCCCTGAAGGTGGGTGGAATAGCCACGTGGTCTGACCTCTTTATGGCAGAAGGGGGAGGAAGAGTTAAGGCGCTGGTCTTCTGGTAAGGATGTGGGCCCCAGCAAAGGAGGCAGACCAGCTTGACAGGAGAGTGCTAGAAGTATTTTGCAAGAAAGTATACATAAGATATTAACTTTAATGCTAAAGAACTGTAAAGCCTTTAGAAAGTAAACAACAACAGGCCAGCGCCACAGCTCAACAGGCTAATCCTCCACCTAGCAGCGCCGGCACACCGGGTTCTAGTCCCGGTTGGGGCGCCGGATTCTGTCCCGGTTGCCCCTCTTCCAGGCCAGCTCTCTGCTGTGGCCCGGGAGTGCAGTGGAGGATGGCCCAAGTGCTTGGGCCCTGCACCCCATGGGAGACCAGGAGAAGCACCTGGCTCCTACCTTCGGATCAGCGCGGTGCGCCGGCCACAGCGCACCGGCCATGGAGGCCATTGGAGGGTGAACCAACGGCAAAGGAAGACCTTTCTCTCTGTCTCTCTCTCTCTCACTATCCACTCTGCCTGTCAAAAAAAAAAAAAAAAAAAAAAAAAGTACACAACAACAAAACCCTACCAGGAAGGGGAAAACCTACTAGTTACAAAATACCAAGACTTCAGTCAGTACAACAGCCCCTTTAGAAGGCAAATGCAAACTAGGACACAGAGGGGCTTTTTTGGTTTTGGTTTTGGTTTGTGTGTGTGTGTGTGTGTGTGTGTAAATGTCTCATGATGAAAACTCTAAGCAAACTGGGTATAGAAGGAACAGTCCTCAACAATCAAAGCAATGTATGAAAAACCCATGGCAGGCATCCTATTGAATGGGGAAAAGTTGGGAGAGCATTTCACTGAGATCTGTACCAGACAGGAATGCCCACTTCTCACATTGCTATTCAATATAGTTCTGAAGTTTTAGCCAGAGCATTAGCAAGAAAAGAATTAGAGGAGATACAATTGGGAAGGAAAGTCAACTATCCTCTTTTTCAGATGATATATTCATATAATACAAGGAACTGAAGAGTTAAAATTGTATATGTGCAGGTGTAAAAAGTTAAGCTTAAGCTTACAGGTTTAAACCTTGCTGGTACAGCTGTAAAAAAAATAAGACAGAGTAGCACCTTGGCAGTAGGGACTCCATTTTGGAGCACTTGAGACTGCATTCTGGGAAAGCACCCCCCCACTGTGAGACTCTGGTCTGAAACTATGATCTCAAATAGTCGGACAATAGCAGTGCACTACATCACCCTTGGCAATGCACAAAAACCCCCTAGCATGACTGCTCAAGCTTAAAAGTAGAAAGGTTGCACCTGGGTTACCTGGGCTAATAATAAAGATGTGATTTGTCTGTGTCTTACATTAATGTCAAGTCCTAATTGCTAATTGTAATATTGTAACTGGTATTGTCAAGATTATGATAAATATTAATTTCAATTAGGTTTTAGGTTATGTTGACCCCAGTAACCATATACTCTTTTGATTTTATGTACTCTCTTTTGATTTTAGCAACTGTGTATAGCAACCGTGCATAGCAACCGTGTATTCCCCCCTTCCCAGTTTTGCGGTTTTTGCCTTTATAAATCCTAACCTTTGGTTATTCGGGGCTGCTCTGTTCATGTATGGTCAGACAGCCCCAGCATGCTGGATAATCAATAAAGCTTCCCCTTGCTGTTTGCATAAGAGATGTCTCTTGGTGACGTTTTTCGGGCAGTGGACTCTAACATTTGGAGGCCCCAGCGAGATCTGACTGCTGCCTGCGGACGTCTCCAACAGATATCTCTCGGGGTAAGTTGCAGGCGCCTATTTGTGTTGTCGGCCGGCTTATTTGTGGTTTGTGTCTCTTCATTCTGGATTTTGGTAGTTTGTGAGCGCTCTAGGGTTTTGGGAACTGTGCTGGTGTAGTAGCTGCTGGGACAGGGCGTGAGCCCTTCCTGGCTGTGGCCGGCAGACGTGCCCGGGGGCCACAGGCTACGGCCCTGAGGGACGCCTCAGGAGGACAAAGGAAGGCTGGGGACGCCCAGATACTTCCGACGGGGCAGGCGTGGAGTCTGCATTCCCAGCACAGACGGGGTGGCCGGTAAGGCCTTCTTATTATTAGTCTTTTGTAGTTGTAAGGTGCTTTCTTGGTTGTCTTGTTGTTTGTTGATTGTATTCTCTTGTCATTTAGCATTGTATGGGGCGCTGTGATGGCTCCCATTTGGTAGATTTGGAATCTGCATTTGTATTGCCAGCATGGTCGCGTGACTCTGAAGTGGTTCTGGAGTCTGCATTTGTAGGTTCTGAAGTGGTTCCGGAGCTTGCATTTGTATTACCGGCATCCTCACAGGGCTCTGAGGCGGTTCCAGAGTCTGTGTTTGTATTGCCAGCATCATCGCGACCAGTAGTTTATCTCAATTCCTTTATGGACACTTTGTGTGGTTGTTGTGTGCTGATTCTCTACACTGTTTGTCTGTTCGTGTACATTGTGTTGTCTGCTAACATGGGCCAGACTGTGTCTACACCTTTGTCTCTAACTTTGAATCATTGGTAGTAGGTAAGCGACCGGGCACATAACCTCTTTGTCAGTCAAGAAGGTAAAGTGACAGTCTTTCTGTGCCTCTGAATGGCCAGCTCTCGGAGTGGATTGGCCCCCTGGAGGGCTCTCCATTTACCACTCATTCGCCAAGTGAAAGAGGCCGTTCTCCTGCCTGGCCGTCATGGGCACCCAGACCGGGATTTTGAGAAAACATCGGAGGTCAGTATTCCTTCCCTCAAGCGGGACCGGATCTGTGGAAGTGACCGTTGAGTGTCCGGCACCCCACAGCTCTCCGAGAACGCAGAGTCCCCCCGGCCACGGCTTAGCTACGGCCGAAACTCCAGAGGGATTGTAAGGAATGGGAGGGAAATTAGGAAGGACAGTTGGCTGAGAGCCTGGAGACCCCCTGAGCTCGCTTTGGCTTCCCGGCGGCCGGACTGCGACCCGAGGACCAGGTCTCTCTCTCGGAGGGACGCCTGATCACGCTGCCTACTGCTACGCGAGCAGGGCTTAGCTTCGGTCGAGGCTAATATTGGCCCTCCAGGTAAACTCAGACAACTAGGTAGTGGGTAACCTTGAGTGATAGGAGATTTCAAACCCCACTCAGCCCCCAGACATGAGGAGCTTCATTGCTTTCTGCCTTCCTCCTCCTCCCGGGGGGCTCCCTCCCCCACTCTTTTGCTCTCCTCATCTCCATTCCTATACCACTGGCCAGGAGAAAGGGAGAGGGAAATTCCGCAAGTCTCTCCACCTAGGGAAAAGCTGTTACCTGTTACCTGTTAACCCTTTCCAACCTGGTAGAAAGTTTTCCATCTTTGCAGCTTGTGGTAGCTCTGGTGCGTCTTAAAAGTTTTTTGTGAACTATTACTGTTGCTAAGCTTTGACTGCTTGAGGACTAAATCCGGAAAAGAGCTAAAGTTAACTATCTGTTATAATTGACTGAGTGTCTGCAGTAGTCCTAATTGATCTGGCTTTGGTTAAATTATAGGAGGTTCCCAACACTCTTGGTAAAACGGCGCACCTACCCAAGCCCACAGTTAGTCCTGCCAAGCCCTGGTGTGTGCAGTCTTCCCTGTAAATGGGGGAACACAGCCTTTCTCTGCACTCCAAATATCTCTAGGCAGAGCCCCCACCCTAGGGCTGCTTCTTTTTTCCTCTCCTGGAGGAATTTCCAATTCAATACTACTGCTGGCCTTACCTAAGGGAGCCAGAACCTTAAACCATTAACCCTTACCAACCTGATGGGTTTTTCTCTTTGCAGCTAATAAAAACCTAAACAATGGGTTATTCATCTGAGAGCATTCACCTGTCTCGAAGGTTTCGAAGGTTTCGAAGGTTTCGCGTTTTTCTATTGCCATTAGAGTCTTAATTGGGAAAACTACAATGCAAAGTTGTTTACATTGTTTATCTGTTTTTAATGTCTAAGTAATTACCCAACTGATCAGAAATGTACTAATTTTGGCTAAATGGTTTGACTCTCTGACAGCTTAAATTCTAAACCGAGTCTTCCAACTTTGGGCTTCCAGTCGGATCCCTGGAACTCTCAAAGAATGAGACTCTAAATTTGTTAAAGTAACAGCTGCTTGGGTCAATTCAAATTATATAAAATATATTAAAATGTTATAAATGGTGTCAGACCTATACTGTATTTATGTTTTTGCTTTCCAGCTAAAGTGGTCTTATAAAAATAAGAGTAAATTCTGTATATACAAGCCTTTATGTTGTTAACTAAAGTAAGCCAATACAGATTGGTTCAGAAAATTGAGGTAATGCAAACGCCCTTCAGTTTGCTCAGTGGCTTGCTTGCTCAGTTTTACATGTCTTTGATATGCTTTAAACTTGTTTCTCTTAATGAGGAAGATCTTTTCAAAGTTGTAAACATGCACTAATGTTTGCTGTCCAGGAGGTGTTATCCTCGTGTTACTTAAAAATATAAAAATGTAATTTTAACTTTTATTTCAGATAATGGTGTGGTATTCATTAATAACTCAGTGTCTTAAGTCATCTAGGCATCAGTGCTAAATAAAACTTGGAAAAATATATTATATATACTTTTAACATCTCAAATTCAATAAAAAAAATGTTTGAGTTTGTTAACATGTATTCGCATAGGTTGTCTATACATGACAATTCAAGGCTATGTAAAAGTAACTATGAGTATAAAGTTTCAAAAGATGTAAACAAGTCATAAAAAGTTTTAAAATGTTTATAATTTTAAAATATTATTTACAGAGTTAAGTGCTAATGCTAAAATTACACTGACCTAAAGTTAAAGTCTAATCTTCTGTTATAACAATGGGGTTTAAAAAAAAAAAAAGTGTACTAATGTTAGTAAATATCTAAAAATGGTCTAAATCATAAATCTTAAAATCTGTTTTTGCAAAAACTGTAACGTCTATTTTAACAGTGTCTGCTTAATCGGTTACTCTGCCATTTCTAGAGTTAGGTCTTGTAAGCTCTTTTTGACTCTGTTAAATAATTCTAAATTATGTAAACTCTTATATACAAGGTTTTTTTTTTTATTTATTTCTGGTTTATTCGACAACAAGAGACATAAAATTCATGTTAATCCATTGTGTACTCTACTGTCTCTGTTAAGTTATGGTTATGTGGCAGATGCTAGAAAACTGGGTTCCAGAAACCCAAGAAAGCTCTAGTGTCCACAGGCTACACGGTAAATACCCGGAAGCCAAAGAATGGCAGAGAACTCTGCCATAATTTCTCCTCTAAGTCGGGCTACGCAGTAAACACTGGTTAAACTGCCAGTTAAATCTAAAAGCCCAGAAAGTCAGGCTAGAGACCCAACTCGCTGCCTCACTTCTCTTTTCTCTTCCAGAAGGGAAGTTACTACTGTTCTGCAGGACTCTCCACTGTGATGTACGGTTTGATCCCCAGACCTTATGTAAGGGATGACTGACCTTTTCTGTAATAATGCCTGGCCACAGTATAGGGCCCCAAACAACAACAACAACAACAACAAAGGTTAAACTATAAAATAATGTGACAACTAAATCAATTTTTGGGTGTAAAAAGTATGCAAGCAGGTCACCACAGTTGATCTTACCTAAAGGGTCATAGTTCTCCTCATGGGCACAGTCTTAACTCGCAGGAAAATACTAAGTGTCAGAATTTGCCCATGACCATAATTTTTCTAGCTTACCCTGATATTAAAAAATCTCCAAAAATCAGGGTGGGTTGGGCACCCCCTTGATTTGCATCATAGAGGCTGCCTCCAGGGTCCACTTTATTAGAGACAAAGGGAATGAGGAGCAAGCTAGCAGCAGGAGCAATGTAGGGATGGGCAACAGGCCAATCAATGGCTGCTTTACACAGTGATCTGCCGTCAAGGAGACCCAGCAAGGCCAGTGCACCCCAAACCTGTGCACCTGTTGCTGATATAAGGAGCCAGGGCATTGGGCAAGCAGCTGTCGTGACAGCAAATGCCTTCTGTCAGCCCTGCCAAGAGCACAGCCACTGGACACGGAACTGCCCTGGGTGTCGAAGGACTCCTGGTTCAGAACCGCTGACCCTGTGGCCCCGAGCTAAAAAGCCTTTGGCTCTGTCCAGCCTCTGCCCAGCTTCCAGCTCCAGCCACTGCTATTGAGGGGATGGCCTAGGGTCAGTGAAATGCAAGTTGCCTATTTCCATCAGCCTCCTATTCAGCTCTCCTCCTAGTCCAGCCATGTAATGCAAGTCAACAGGGTGCCTCCCTTAAAGGAGATTTGCATCTCTTTCAATTCTCTTCCAGCACCCCGTGGATAGGTCTGCGCCTCTCATACCCAGCCAGGCCTTCAAAGTCTATCCAATAACATTAAGCTTAGAAAGCCCTCCCTGCCAGTTCCTAAAAACAGGGCTTTCAGTAACAGCTAACTCAGATAGCCCTACACCGATTTGGACAGGTCCTCACTGAGAACTTAAAGGGCCTATCTCTTGAGGGGGGGTGCACAATAATCCATAATATAAATGGTTAAATGTAAATAATTCATTAGTCTGTCCTTTTCCCAGCCTGAGACTCTAGTCTTGTACATTGGCTTAACTTCCTAGCAAAACTGGCTACTAAATAAAAAAAAAAAAAATTGTCTCTGGGTCAATCAGACTAGACAGGCACAAACCCAAATTTGTACTTTTCCTGGAAAAAGCCAAACAGCTCCAGGATCAGGCCAAGCAGGGCTGGGATTTCTGGCCTGCCATCTGGTCATGGAAATCCTGGCTATTTCCTCTCCTTGGCCCACTAACTTCTGCAATCTTGATGCTTCTCTTTGCACCGTGTGTTTTTAATGCCCTTGTTCGTTTTGTCTCTAACAGACTAAAAGCTGTTGAACTCCAAATGGTCATCAGGCAAGACTTCCAGCCCATTCCACTGGACGACTTGAGCAGCCTTCTGGACCGAGCAACACAGTCTTTCCAAGGCCACTGTTGCACACCATAAGACAGGTAGCAAGAGGAAATACCCAAATCCCCTCGACGCCCACATGCCAGCTTCGAAGAAGTTACAGAAAACGGAACTCCATCCATAATCCCAAAGAAGAATTTTGGGTATTGCCTCTTGAGGGGAAAATATTAGGCAGAAAGTCAGTTATGAGCTTATGTGTGTGTGACATAAAGGCCTAATGTGTCCAGCATATGCATCTGTATCTCAGTCATCCTGACAATGTTTCACAGGCAGCCTGGCCTTCGCATCCTGCCCTGCCCCCTTCTACCTGATAACCTGCCAGGTGGAGGTCCCCGCCCCTTCTGCCTGAGAAATCTTCCACAATCTCCCAGATGCAGCCCAGTATCTGCATTTCAGTATTACAAAACAGGTGGGGGTTAAATCTCATTTTCATGGTGGGGGGGTTATGCACGGCCCTAAAAAAAAAAAAAAAAAATATTGTTTTTATGCTGACTGAACCGGGGTGGTTAGAAACTCCATGGCCAAACTCAAAAAACGACTGGAAAAATGGCAACGGGAAAGGAAAACTCAACAGGGATGGTTTGAGTCATGGTTCTGCCGGTCCCCATGGCTTACTACTCTACTGTCAGCCCTAACAGGACCCTTAATTGTTCTATTCCTAATTGTAACCATAGGACCTTGTGTGTTAAATAGACTCATCACCTTCGTGCGGAAACAAGTTAAAAATGTTAAACACATGGTCATAAGACAACAATATGTCACATTAAAAGATACAAAAACAAATCTCTAAGATTAGAGATCCTCACAACAAGGAGTGGGGAATGAAGAGTTAAAATTGTATATGTGCAGGTGTAAAAAGTTAAGCTTAAGCTTACAGGTTTAAACCTTGCTGGTACAGCTGTAAAAAAAATAAGACAGAGTAGCACCTTGGCAGTAGGGACTCCATTTTGGAGCACTTGAGACTGCATTCTGGGAAAGCACCCCCCCACTGTGAGACTCTGGTCTGAAACTATGATCTCAAATAGTCGGACAATAGCAGTGCACTACATCACCCTTGGCAATGCACAAAAACCCCCTAGCATGACTGCTCAAGCTTAAAAGTAGAAAGGTTGCACCTGGGTTACCTGGGCTAATAATAAAGATGTGATTTGTCTGTGTCTTACATTAATGTCAAGTCCTAATTGCTAATTGTAATATTGTAACTGGTATTGTCAAGATTATGATAAATATTAATTTCAATTAGGTTTTAGGTTATGTTGACCCCAGTAACCATATACTCTTTTGATTTTATGTACTCTCTTTTGATTTTAGCAACTGTGTATAGCAACCGTGCATAGCAACCGTGTATTCCCCCCTTCCCAGTTTTGCGGTTTTTGCCTTTATAAACCCTAACCTTTGGTTATTCGGGGCTGCTCTGTTCATGTATGGTCAGACAGCCCCAGCATGCTGGATAATCAATAAAGCTTCCCCTTGCTGTTTGCATAAGAGATGTCTCTTGGTGACGTTTTTCGGGCAGTGGACTCTAACAGAACTCTACCAAGAGACTATTGGAACTCATAGAAGAGATTGGCAAAGTAGCAGGATATAAAATCAACGCACAAAAATCAACAGCCTTTGTACACACAGGCAATGCCACGTCTGAGAAAGAACTTCTATGATCAATCCCATTCACAATAGCTACAAAAACAATCAAATACCTTGGAATAAACTTAACCAAGGACATCAAAGATCTCTACGGTGAGAATTATAAAATCTTAAAGAAATAGAAGAGGATACCAAAAAAATGGGAAAATTTCCCATGCTCATAGACTGGAAGAATCAATATCATCAAAATGTCCATTCTCCCAAAAGCAATTTATAGATTCAATGCGATACCAATCAAAAATACCAAAGACATTCTTCTCAGATCTAGAAAAAATGATGCTGAAATTCATATGGAGGCACAGGAGACCTTGAATAGCTAAAGCAATCTTGTACAACAGAAACAAAGCCAGAGTCATCACAATATCCGATTTCAGGACATACTACAGGGCAATTATAATCAAAACAGCATGGTACTGGTACAGAAACAGATGGATAGACCAATGGAACAGAACAGAAAAACCAGAAATCAATCCAAACATCTACAGCCAACTTAAATTTGATCAAGGATCTGAAACCAATACCTGGAGCAAGGACAATCTATTCAATAAATGGTGCTGGGAAAACTGGATTTCCACATGCAGAAGCATGAAGTAAGACCCCTACCTTACACCTTACACAAAAATCCACTCAACATGGATTAAAGATCTAAATCTACAACCTGACACCATCAGATTATTAGGGAACATTGGAGAAACCCTGCAAGATATAGGCACAGGCAAAGACTTCTTGGAAAAGACCCTGGAGGCACAGGCAGTCAAAGCCAAAATTAACAATTGGGATATCCTTTTAACACGCATAGGATCTGAACTGATGCTTCCTGTCTAATTTCTGATATTAGTGATTTCTGTCTTTTTTCCTTGTTAGCCTGCCTAGCAGCTTATTGATTTTATTGATTAATTTTCTCTATTAATCTCCTGTTTCCAATTTGCTTTTTACTGTAATTTTATTTTTTTCTGTTTACATAAGATTTACTTTTCGTTTTCCAGTTCCTAATGTGGAAGCTTGGATGCTTAATTTTAGTTCTTTCTAAAATGACTTCAATGTTATAAATTTGCTCTGGGCATTGCTTTTACTAAATCCTACTATATATATATATATATATATTTTTTTTAAGATTTGAAAGACAGAGTGTGTGTGAGAGAGAGAGAAAGAGAGAGAGAGAGAGAGAGAGAGAGAAAGAGAGATCTTCCATCTGCTGGTTCACTCCTCAAATGCCTGCAACAGCCACAGCTGGGGCAGGCAGGAGCCAGGAGCCAGAAACTCACCCTGACTTCCCATATGGGTGGCAGGGACCCACGTACTTGGGCTGTCTTCTGCTGCTCTCTTAGGTGCATTAGCAGCAAACTGGATAGGAAGCAGAGGGGCTGAGCTGCAAATGTCGGTGCTGCAAGGGGCATCTTAAGCCACTGTGCCACGAGGCTGGCCCCATCCCACAATATTTTGTTAGTTCAAAATAATTTTTAATTTCTCTTGATATTTCTTATTTAGGTTTTTTCAGTCATTTAAAAAATATAAAAAAAATTTAACTCACAGGTCATATCAAAACAGGTGGCAGACTAAATTTGGGCCTCAGACTATTATTTGCCAGCTCTGGTTTTAAAAGTTTTTCCTTTCTCCCTTTTTTCATGGTGACAGCTTTATCTTATAACAAGTTCCCAAATATATATGAGTATGCTCATGCTTCTAAGTTCTATTTGCTCTTCATTGGTCTCTTTGTTCTTCTGTTAATACCATATTAATTGCATTTAGATATTGTTTTATAAAAAATGATGACTTTGTAATATGGCTTAATATTGAATAGGCTGAATCTCTCATCTTTTCACTTCCATATTTTTAGGGCCAGGCAGGAGCTAAGAGCTGGGAACACAATCCACATCTCCCATATGCATAACAGGAACCCACTACTTGAGCCACGCAATATGAGATATGGGCAACTTAGACAAATATCCATCCCTGTCCTTTTCAAACTTGACTTGACAACTCATGGATGGACCTTTGCCTCATATGAATTTTAGAGTTTATTTTTTAATTTAAAATAAACTATAATCTTTATTGCTGTTAGATTATATTCACAGATTAATTTCAAGAGAGTTGAATCTTTACTGTGTTGAGTTGTCCCCATTCATACACTCTTTATATCTGCAATTATTCAGATCTTTGTCATTTTACAATGGAGTTTTAAATATTTTTTCTGGGAAGATCTTGTGCTTTCTATGTTAAGATGCTTATCAGATAATCTGTAATTTTTGTTTCTACTGTGATTTTTATTTCTATTAAATTTTCTATATGATTATTAATAGTAAAGAAGAAGCACAGAGAGTTTTTGACATTCACAGCTAACATCCTTGCCAAATCCTCTAATAAGTTTGGAGAATTTGTTGACTTATCAGACTTTATGTAGCTCATTATATCTGCAAATGATGAATTATTTTATCTTTTTTAAAAAATCATTCCACAGCTTTTCTTTTTTTAAAGATTTATTTACTATTTATTTGAAAGAGGAACAGAGAGGCAGAGGCAGACATAAAGAGGGAGAGGGAGAGAAAGAGAGAGGGAGAGAGGGGAGGAGGGAGAGAGAGAGGGAAAGAGAGAGAGAGAGATTTTCCATCTGCTGGTTTACTCCCCAAATGGCCACAACAGCCAGAGCTGGGCCCATCCAAGGTCAGGAGCCAGGAGCCAGGAACCAGTAGTTTTTTCCGGGTCTCCTATGTGATTGGAAGTGGAGCAGCTGGGTCTTAAACCACTGCCTATATGGGATGCCAGCACTGCAGGCAGCAGCTTTACACACTATGCCACAGCACCAGCCCCTGGATTCTACCAATTTTCTTCTAACTCACATATCTCTATTTTTATGTATTAGTTTAATTTGAAAATGATAAACAGACAAAAAGGTTAAAATTCAGTATGTATTAGATATTTTAAAGTTTTATCAAAAAAGAAAATGGTATCTGAATTATTTAAAGCATAACATCAGTAAACTCAAAGTCTAAAAATGGATTTTAACAAACAACACAAATCTAAGAATGTCCAAGAAGATAACTATAAATATCCAAGAAGGTAGCTATAAAGCCATTTACTTGAGGTTTCTCTTATGACCAGTAAGACTAGTCTGGGCCAGCACCGCGGCTCACTAGGCTAATCCTCCGCCTTGCGGCGCCGGCACACCAGTTCTAGTCCCGGTCGGGGCGCTGGATTCTGTCCCAGTTGCCCCTCTTCCAGGCCAGCTCTCTGCTGTGGCCCGGGAGTGCAGTGGAGGATGGCCCAAGTCCTTAGGCCCTGCACCCCATGGGAGACCAGGATAAGTACCTGGCTTCTGCCATCGGATCAGTGTGGTGCGCCGACCGCAGCTCGCCGGCCGTGGTGGCCATTGGAGGGTGAACCAACGGCAAAAGGAAGACCTTTCTCTGTCTCTCTCTCTCTCTGCCCACTCTGCATGTCAAAACAGAACAACGAAAAGAGCGAAAAGAAAAAAAAGACCAGTCTGATTCCCAAGCCTTTCAGACAGTTTATTATTTATTCCCACAGAAAAATTTATCTATTCCTGGTCCATCTCTGGCCATGAGGCTACCACCAACCACTCGGATAACAATCATTGTGTGCAAGCTAAAACTGCAGCTTGCTGACCTCTCCTTGTGACTTGACAAATGAGAATCTCTGCTGGGGTTACGTTGGCATCCGTGACTTCAGTAAGGTCGCTGGTGAATCTTATGCCCACATGCTTGAGAATCATTATGGGCCATGGGGGGAAAGGGACAGAGATCCTGACCTCCAAAAACAGGTATCACCAACAAAAATCCAGTTCTGATCCCCTGGGCCAGAGAGAACAGAAGCCTACAAGAAGAAATGACTTCTGTTCTCTGTTCCTTCTTAGTACTACCTTGCCATTCTCTATGTCAAGTAGATACATATCAACAGAACTCTAAAATGATTGGCATATCATATATCTGTCTACTCAGATCAAGCCAGAGTTCTTGTTTGGGAAGTTATAAAAAGTTAGTCAGGAAACAGTAGAGCTATTCTCTTGTGGTTGGAATAACTAAAAGTTGGGCCTTGGAATATCAGGGACTACTGCTCCCCTAAGAAAGCTTGGAGAATCAGAGAATGACATGAGGGCACCAAGTCACCTGCTGTAATTTCAGAGAAGAACCAGAATAACTTGAGAGCAAAGCCACACTCCAGCCCCAATCCTGGGTCAGTGGTTTCATGTTTCCCTGAAAGTCTTATTATTTCTCTAAAAATCTCACAAGGAGTTAAAGGAAAGGATTTATCAGACAATGAATATGATTTAGAATTTCACACTGCATCCTAATAATTCCAAAAATAATTGTGTTAACAATATTAGAGCCAAGTGCTCCCCTATACCCACCCTGCCACCAAAAACTCACTTGGAGGTTTAGATTTTTCATTCTTTAAAAGTCACAGGTACTACAAAAATAATATAGACCTAATGCAAGCGCTCACTTTTCCAAATCTAGAGTATTATGGTTAACATTGATTAAATACTAAGATTTCAGTGTCCAAATGCTACATTCATTAAGCTCTTGACACAAAACAAATTTAAAACTAGTTTCTTCTAAAAAATAAATTTGCTTTGAGAAAACTTTTATTGCAATCAATGAGTTATTTCCATTTAAATAAATATTGTACAAAACTAATATTCATGTTGTAAAAATCCCTGTGATTACCAATCAGCAGTCTATAAAGAGTACACACTATTTTTGTCTTTTTAAAAATTATTATTATTTGAGAGAGTGTTCCTGTGTGCTGACTCACTCCCCTAGTGTCCACAATGGCCAGAGCTGGGCCAGGCATCAGGAGGCAGGGACACAACCCAGATCTTCCTTGTGGGAGGCAGGAATCCAATTACTTGAGCCATCACCACTGCCTCCCAGGGTCTGTGGCAGGAAGCTGGAGTCAGGAGGAGGTCCAGGAATCAAACCTAGGCACTTTTGAGGTGGGATACAGGCATCTTAACTGCTAGGCTGAATGCTTGCTCCCTACTTTCCTCCCTCTTTAAAACATACATTTTTCATTTAATAATTTTGAGTATAATGATTCCTCAAAATATCTTTATTGTGAGTTACAGATCCTCACCCCAGGAAACCACAGCTCCTGACCCAAGATGCTTCACTATGAGGCCAAGTGTGCCAATGAAAGGCCCAGTCTCCCCCCCTTAGGCTTTCACAAAGCTGCAAAAGTGCTAATTCAATAATCATTGTTGAATTGGATATGTGTTGATATGTGCTTTCATTTTCAAACAGGCAGAGTCTGCTCTTTCAATTTTGTATTTCATTTATCATTGATGGGGAGGAAACATAAACGAATACTTAAAAATCCAATCCTCTCCAGAAGTAAAAGCAGAATCAAGTAACAGTCGTCCTACAGAACCAAAGATTGCACTGTTAGCTGGTGATGATCATTTTTTCTATCCTGCTCTTTAAGAAAAGATTTTAAAATGCAGTGATTACTGGATACACATATTAACCACTCCCACTCCACCATCTCCTGGATGGGCACGTGGGAGTGATTCAGGCCAATGTCACCAAGTGGTCCAAAGTCATTGTCAGAGCAGGGATTCTTTTCCACTGATGCACTGATGCCACAATCCACCCAGAGCAGCTGGAAGCAAGAGAACATGAACTAAGGAGGGCAGTGGGAACACATTCTAAGGCTAAGGTGTCATAAACAGGGAGGAACAATAATCTAATATTTTCCCTCATTCACATTAGTTACTTTTTTTAAGACAAACAGTAAAAAGAAGCAAAGACATGAAATATTGCTTTTTAAAAATATAAACATAGCTCTTGGTGAATTATAGCTACTAATTAGCTCAAAATAATAGCCTTCAAATATATTATACTTCATCTAATAATATCCATATAATCTCCCAACTCAGCTACACGTTATGTTTTCCTCTAGAGCAGGAAACCTGAGAGCTACTTTTTACAGCAGCAGAATAGAGACACTGGAGGTTCATCTTCTAGTCTGTATTTTCCAGAGTTGGGCAGATCCTTGCACTCTGATATGAATGTCCGAAGTTCAGTCTCTGGGAAGCCATCTTGTTGGTAATGCTACACAGAAGAGTAAAAAAAAAAAAAAAAGTCTCATTAATAAGCCCTTGAAATAAGCTTTATTCCAAACTCAGAATGGATCATGTGGCAGGGAGAGGATTTTTTCAGAGGGGCATTTAATCACCTGCAAGTGTTTTCAGGGAGGGGCAGCCTCCAGGGGGGCCTTCAGGTTGGGCTGAGGTAAAACGGGCCTGGGGTTCTGCGGTGCCCTCCTGGGCTTTCTTGTCTGGGTCTAATGAGCAGATTGACTCTGGGTCTGAGCCCTCCTCCCGACAGAATTGAGACAGCCACATCCCAAAGCAGAGACCCTCCATCACTGCTTTGTCCTACAGCCTGGTGACTTCCAGGCCAGAAGGAAGCACGTGTCTCATGGAACCTGGCTCGGGCTCCGGGAAGCCAAACTGATATAGACTACCCAGGTGGTGTCGAGGGCCAAGCAGTGGCTGTCCCTAGTCTGGCTCAGGTGACTCAGCACATCTTAGACACTGTTGACCAGTTGGTCTCGGTGCCTGGACAAAGATCTGAATGCTGTCAGGGACCTTCCCAACTTGGATCTCTCTTTGGAGTCACTCTTCCAAAAGACAATTTTGTCTAAGAGCCTCATATTTATACAATTTGGAGATCTAAGTGCCTTAGAACATGCCTGACCAGAAAGGATCAGAAAGAACTTAGTTTACTCATTTGACAAGTCTCTGAACCCAGAGAAATGGTTAGTATCTTTACAACTGAGTCTCGGGCTTGGGCTATGAAGACTGAAAACCCATGTTATTCTTAGAGATCTCTCGTGCTCCCTTGAAGAATATGTATCTGAGAGTTGAAGAGAGTGAGTTCTAGAGTGTGATGGGGAAGGATGTGGATGGTTACACCCACATTCTTCCCCAGTTGCTTTAGTGACCCTAAGCACATATCAGACAAATTAGCATTGATGACAGCAAGAGGACAATCCCTGAAATCTCCCTCGGTAAGAATGAAATGTTGCTGGTGGGCACTGTGGCGCAGTGGGTTAAGCAGCTGGTTGGAATGTATGCATCCCATTGTGGAATGGCTGGTTCAAGTCCCCGCTACTGGCTTCATGAGCAAGGTATTCATAACAAGAACTCCAAACCATGGCTATCTCTGTATCCTGAGGCCAATCACATGACACTGTGTTTCATTATCCCAGTGATACCCAGAAAGAAAAGTCCCCAAGTGGAAGTGTCTATGCCAGTAGTACAACTAATAAGGTTACCAGAAATGCAAATATATATATGAATATTTATTCTTCCTTTCCACATTCCAAGGGCTCAAATAGATTTCTTAAAATTTCCATATGGTTGACAATAGCTCTTTAGTCAGGTTTCTGACTGTGTAAAGGATACACGGCTAGTACTTGACACACATCAATCCTGTTGCTGGGTCCCCAGGGTGTGTCATGCAGTGAATCATGGGTACAAAATACTCCAAATGAAGAGGTCAGTTTTTCTTTATGAAGAGGTCAGTTTTTCTTTATTTCTGGCATTCTGAAATTCCATCTATTTTATTCATCCAATTCCTGTTAGCCCTAATACTTGTAATAAAAGGTTAGAAAACTTGCTTAGAGGGGCCGGTGCCATGGTTCACTTGGTTAATCCTCTGCCTGAGGCACCAGAATCCCATATGGGTGTCAGGTTCTAGTCCCGGTTGCTCCTCTTCCAGTCCAGCTCTCTGCTGTGGCCCAGGAAGGCAGTGGAGGATGGCCCAAGTGCTTGGGCCCCTGCACCCGCATGGGAGACCAGGAAGAAGCACCTGACTCCTGGCTTCAGATCAGCACAGCACCAGCCATAGCGGTCATTTGGGGAGTAAACCAACAGAAGGAAGACCTTTCTCTCTATCTCTCTTTGTCTATAACTCTATCTGTCAAATAAAAAAAAAAAAAGGAAAGAAAACTTGCTTAGAAAAGCACAATTATTTAAGGCCTTTCAGCATTCTAGAAATTCTATTTCTTTCACTTTCTTGATCTCTAAAATTGAGGTCCCTCAACATTCCATCAACTTTTCACCTGTTTTAGGTAACACATTTTACTGCAACAACACAAGTTCTAGAAGAATGTTGCCACTCATAGCTATTGATAAACCTACCTTAATTGTTTCATATGTATCAGTGATCAGTGCAATGAAAAGACTTAAAATCATATATATAAAGAGGCTGATGAATGAGTAGAGGTAAATCCTGCTAAACAGCCAGACCAAGTAACTTTTTTGCTGCATCTTTGCAAATGTGGCAAACATATCATCTCCATTGATCAGAGAGAAAAGGCACTCAGAGACCCTGTTCAGAGAACGGAACTAGAAAGAAAAAAGAGAAAAGTAAGCTTTATTCCACATTCTTTCCCACTGGAGATCTTTGTTCATGATATCACATTAAAAACAGGATCAGCTAACCCAAGTTAGCCCTTTCAAACAAATAACCTGAGGTGACCACAAGCATTTGCTTTGTGATGCATACCCTGTGCATCAGCCAGACTGAGCAGAACTCTCCTGGGCTCCTCTTGAGTGGAATCCAAGGGGCTTGAGTGCACCCTGAGAGCCTTTCTGGGTCAGGCCTTCTTTCCCTACTTTATCCTCACAGAAGGCATCCTTGAAATGCTTCTGCAGACATGCCCAGACTCCAACTTTATGGATTTGCATGCGTCTCATTTTCTCATTCATTCTATTTCATATAATGGCTCTGATAACAACATTTTCCAATTTTTCTAGTTTGAGAAGGCTTACCTCAATTGCCTACTCTAGTATAGGAGGGTACTCCAAAAAGCTTGTGGAATAAGGAAATGAAAAGCGTATTTTGCTTCAACTTTTTTTTTTTCAAAATCCATGTATAGTTTTTTTAGCCTGTATATTTTCTATGAACTTTATAAAGACCCCTCATATGCTGATGAATCAAATTTATCAAGCCTGACTTTGCTGGTTATGGAAGAGACTTAATTATTTGGCATATTCCAAAAATGTATTTGAGATATTTGAGTGAATTACTCCTCCTCTCAAATTGGTCACACCTTACTATTGTTTAAATATAATCATAGTTATACTGCTTTTAAAAGGTTAAGGCTGAATTACAAATAAAGAGTTCATTTTAAAAGGATAACAAGCCATTAGCACTGCTCTAGGAGCTTAATAGGAGCAGGAAAAAAAGTTGTTTATCAGTACCTTATCATGGTAAGGCCCCAGCACAATCCATCCACAGAAGCAATAGCCCAAATAAATCATAGCTGCGCAGCAGCAGAACCTCATAACATTGGGCAGTGCTGCCTGAAGCGTCAGAATAAGGAGCTAAGAAAGTAAGAGCAGTCATTAGAATCCCTCTGTCCTTTTGCCGAAACAGTGCAATACTTTGAGAGGCGTAGCAACAGCATGGAGATCCACATAATTCCTTACATTATACTTCTCAAAGAAACCGAGGTATCGGATGACTCCAAGCCACACCAGCATGGTAGAAGTCCCAAGAAATATGCTGCAGACATCATAACTTGTTAGACTCTAGGACACAGTGGAAAAAATAATCCGATTACATAGCAGAGATTCTTTGGGGCAACTAATATTTATTAGGTAACGATCAGTTGGGTACTCTTCTAGGTGCTAAGGATAAAGCAGTGAACAAGCAAACTTACCTGCCCTCCTGAAGCTTACATTCTAGTTTGGAGGCGCAGAGACAGGCAACAGAAATACGTTAATAGAACCTTTCATATATTAATTGATGATAAGTGCTGAGGAGAAAAGCCAAGGAGAGGATAGGGATAGATATGAGTTTGTAATTTTAAACAGTGCCAGGGAAAATGTGTCATTTGAGCAAAGATCTGAGAGGAGTGAGGAAGCAAATCCAACAAAAATCCAGGGGAGGAACTTTCCAGGCACAGGGAGCAGCAAGTGCAAATCCCCAAGGCAGGAGAGTGCCTGGCAAGCTAGTATGTGTGGCTCCAGTGAGCAACAGGAAGAGATGGAGCCAGTGAAGTAAAGGGGCAGGTAGTGTAGGAACTCATGGGTACTTAACAATGTTGTCTTCTACTCTGCGCAGGTTGGGGAGTGTTGAGAGCCCTGAACATGGGTGGGATGATCAAATGTGGGCTGTTATGACTGGGAGCAGATTGGAAAGAGTAAGGAGCCTACTAGAAGAATATAGATGTGAGCTAATGGTGGTTTAGACTAAGCTCAGTAAAGTGGAAGGGATGAAATGATTGGTTTTTGAAGGAAGACTTGGAGGATTTCCTCTTGGATTAGATGTGGGACAGTGTGTATTGGTTTTGTTTTGTTCTTTTTTTATTAGGCAGACAGAGTTAGACAGTGAGAGAGAGAGACAGAGAAAAAGGTCTTTCTTCCATTGGCTCACCCCCCAAATGGCTGCCACGGCTGGCGCACTGCGCTGATCCGAAGCCAGGAGTCAGGTGCTTCCTCCTGGTCTCCCATGCAGGTACAGGGGCCCAAGCACTTGGGCCATCCTCCACTGCCTTCCCAGGCCACAGCAGAGAGCTGGACTGGAAGAGGAACAACCGGGACTAGAACCTGGTGCTATATGGGATGCTGGCACCACATGCGGAGGATTAACCAAGTGAGCCACGGCGTCAGCCCCAAGACAGTGTGTATTGGTTAAAAAGAGGAGAATTTCATGAATTTATGGTTTGGGTCTTCAGCAACTGAAGAGCTGGCATTAACTGAAAATTAGAAAGCTTACGGGAAATGCAGGTTTTGACAGTGGAGGTGGGCATTTTAGGGTTTCTGTTTTAGATGTGTTAAATTATTTGAGAGTACAATTAGACATCCAAGTAGAGAGTGTGGAATACAGTTCTGGATATTAGAATCTGGAGTTTAGGGAAGGCCTCCATGCTAGAGAGAAAGATTATAGAATCATTGACAAATACATACTATTTAAAGTATCTACCTGGCACATATTGAGACTACCAAAACAAGAGAAAAGAGATGTCCAGCCATTAAGCTTTAAAGCGCTATCACCCTAACAGGTTGCTGATATGAGAGACAACCAGCAAGGGAAAGTCAGAAAAACCAATCAGTGGTTTAGGATGAAAATCAGACAAGGAATAGTCCAGGCAGGAAATGTGTGAACCAAGAGGTAGTGTTTGGCAGTGGTAAAGCTGCTGAAGGGTCAGATGAAGATACATATTGGTTATTAGGTTAGAAACACGGGAAGTCACTTGAAAGGACACTTTCCATGGAGTGCCAGGACAACCTCATTGGAATAAATATCAGAAAGAATAGGAAAGAAGAATCAAAAACAGTGAGATTAAGTACTTTTTTGAGTTTTTTTTTTTTTTTTTTTTTTTTTTTGCTGTGTGAATGAGGGCAGATAAGTGAGGCAGTCACTGGATGGAGAAATTGGGTTCAGATTTTATCTTTTTGAAAGAAGAAGAAAAAAGCATGCAAACGGGGAATTGTCCTGAGAGAGAAAGGGAAATTGATACTGCCAGGGAGATGGAATAACTGGGGCTGTGTCCTTGGGCAGGAGACAGCATCTGGTAGGCAAGTGGACGGGACTGGCCCTGGACTGCAGCTGAAACAATCTATTCACAGGAACAAGCAGAGTGTGTGGGCACTGACGCTGGTAGGTATGTGAGTGAGCTGAGAACCCGTGGAAGTTCTGTTTTTGTCCCTCATCTTTATGAAATAGAAATCATTGACTGAAAGTGATGACAGGGGACACAAGTATTAGAGACTTGGGAGGAGAACCTGAAATGTCAACTATGATCAGGAGGGGTCAAATGTTCTAGAGAAACACAGAAAGATTGCTGGATATCATTGAAGTTAACCATAGTTGAGATTGGTTAAAATTAAGATTGGCTGCATCTCTCTCATCACTCCTCTTATTTTTGCTTCTTAAGTCATGTTCCAATGATATATGCTAGAACCACATATCGTGGCAGCTGCCCAGTGTCGACCTAAACCCATTCCCTCCTTCCTAGGCACATGCCTGGGCTGTATTCCCCAGAACCCTCTGTGGTTATATTCAACTAAGTTCTCTCCAGTGTGAAAGGAACAGAAATCATTAGTCAGGGCCATCAGACAAGGAGAGCATCCACCTTGCAGGGTTTGTGCGTCCCTCAGGCTGCAAGCTGCAAGGTGCGATAAGAGAAATCAGCATCAGCCGTGCAGTCAGGACAAGCCACCACGAGCTGGCGAAGTAGCAATGGAAGCAGCTTGAGTCCCAGAATGGCTGTGTGCAGCTGAACGACTTGTCAGCAGCCCCACTCTTTCTTTTTTGAAGATTTTGTCACTTGTTGGTGCAATCTTTTAAAAATTCTTACCTTCGTTACTTTGGTATGTATAAGAATTCACAGCCTTCCCTCCCTCCCAGAGTTCAGATCCAGTAGATTTAACACAGAGCTTATTACCAGACACCCAAATGATTTTGATGCTGCCAGGGAGATTTTGATACTTCCAGGGAGCTGAAACAATCTATTATGGATTATGCTTTGAAAAACCCTGCCTAGGAGACTTCCTAAGAAAATTCTCACTTTCTGGAAAAATATACTGCCATTAACCCAAACCTGATGCTAATAATGGTATGATTAGGAAAAAAAAAATTACCTTAGCTTGGATCTCCATTTTCAGAATTGATCCAGTGATTGTCAGTATGTCACTCACAATAATCATAATGTACCATCCATTGACAAATTCCATTTGGTCAGAAACAGAAACTACTTTCTTATAATGGAGGAGGAAAAAATTGACAAATTCCTTTAAAAAAAAGAACAGAACAGAGGCACAATGAAATTCTCTGTCAATCAAAAGGTATGTAGCAGTCCTGTAGAGCAGCAGCCCCCACCTGCTGAAGCTGAAGTCCTGTAATCACAGATCTGGCGCAGAGGATCAACGAAGCCAAGCAGGTCAGGATGACAAAGGCATCAAAGATCATCATGTAATGAGTGTTCTTCTGAACTGGAGGCCAAGATCAGGCAGTGCTTAGTGGTGGGACACTAATAGGAGACAGCTGCTTGTTTTTAGATTAATTTAGATAGGCATTATTTTCAGAAAGACAACAAAGAAGAGGAACCCAGATAAATACTCTTCAAATTAGCAAAGAAGGTTTAAAGTCCTTTTAAAAATCATCACAAACATCAATCCAAGATCTTTAATTATTGAATTGTGGTCTTTTGTTCTTAATATAATTAGTCTCCATGTACATGCTATTAACACGCAATGCTTATCCATGCCAAAGATATTTATTAAGCCTACCCATTATGTGCCACGAATAATCTTAGATGCTGGGATACATGAGCAAGCAAGACACACAAAGCCCCTGATCTTGTGAAATTTCTATTCTATTGCAGTGAGAAAAGCAAAGATGTAAACAAGCACATGAAAGAAATACTTTCAGACAGGTATTAAGTGATGCAAAGAAAATAAATCTGAATCACTAACATGTATTGAGCACACTTCTAGTCAGGTGTATGTATTAATTTATTTCATCCTCCAAGCAACCCCAGTGAGGTGGGTGTGAGAAAACTGAAGCACAGATGAGATTTACCCAAGACTAAAGATCTGGCCAGTGAGAGCCAGGATTGACACCTTTCAGTCTGCTTCCAGCATCTGTTCTCCTATATTGGTACTACCTGGCATCTTTTGAGAACTTGCTAGAAGTACACATTCTCGGGTCCTACCCCCAGATCCATGCAATCAGAAACTCTATAGGTTTGCAAGTCCTCTGGCTGATGCTACACTTTGGGATCCACTGCTGTAGACCATGGAGGCTGATATGGAGAAATGGGGAGAATGCATACCACTGAGAGGGTAGCAGATTTTAGCCGAAACCTGAGTGATGGGAAACAGCCACCCATACGGAGATTCTGGAGAGTGGACGGTGGCAAGTCCTGGCAGCATGAGTGGAGGCCTTAGGCATCATTGGCTCTGCCTGTAGGCCTTGTCTCAGTTTCACAGCCAGACTGCTTTCCACTGATGAAAAGGTAAAGGACTTGAGAATGGTTCTGTGATGAGGCATCCTGTCAATGCCAAGAGCCATCTAATTGTTGCACATATGTCTAAATCTATTTTAGAAAAACTTAAAAAGCAAGAAACAAACATTTCAGAGAAAACCCATGTGCCAGGCGTTTTCCCATGCTCTCATTTTTCCTCTTCTAATGTTTGTGAAGGGGCATTATGTTTACATGTATACAAAACAGGCTTGTGTTTGAAATAAACAAGTTTGTGATTGTAACAAAAGGCTGTGATCCAAAAGTCTCATACATCTTAAGTTACCTTTACTGAAAATAATACTACAGTGAGGAAATTTAATTTTATTTACTCTTACTATCTCATTATTACTTCAGAACTTCTTCAAATCAGCCAGCAGGAAATCAGAATGGTGGGTATCTGAGTGTGGCGTATGGGTTATCTGCTCATTATCAAGGCCCACTCCAGACTGGTCTTATGTGTGGAGCTAGGGAAATTGCTTTTTAAGGGAACTGGGATGATTCTTGTGCTCCAAGAATCTAAGAATCCTAATTATATTTTTTTTGACAGGTAGAGTTATAGACAGTGAGAGAGAGAGAGACAGAGAGAAAGGTCTTCCTTCCATTGGTTCACTCCCCAAATGGCCACTAAGTAGAGTGCAACATGCCATTGTGTTACTTAAGTAGGTCTAGGAAATGAGATAGATAAATCTTTCCCAGGCAATTTTCTCAAGTTCAGGTCCAAATTTCTTGATAGCACAGAGTCTTGCCCATATTTCTAAGAATAGACCCTTTCCTCATTTACCCTAAGAAATGGGATGTTTCAGGGTCTGACAATTCCTGGCTGTGTGATTACTGGCATGAAGCATTACTTCTGATCCTTAAGTTTTCTTCATCCGTAAAAATAATGCACATGGGGGCCTAGCACTGTGGCACAGCTAAAGCTGCAACCTGTGATGCCAACATCCCAAATGAGCACCAGTTCATGTCCCAGCTACTCTACTTCTGATCCAGCTCCCTGCTAATGTGCCTGGGAAAGCAGCAGAAGATGCCCAAGTGTTTGGGACCCTGGACCCACATGGGAGACCAGAATGGAGTTCCAGGTTCCTGGCTTCAGCCTGGCCCAGCCCTGGCCATTGTGGCCATTTGGGGGGTGAACCAGCAGATGGAAGATTTCTGTCTCTCCCTCTCACTCTATGACTTCAGCTTTCAAATAACTAAAAAAATCTTATAAAAAGATAATAGTGCACATGCCTACCTTGAGGATATTTTAAAATATACGAGGAAAACTAAGGTAGAAGAATTTATGCAGAATGAATGGTTTGAGTGCATGCAGATTTTTGGTGGAGCTATATGTTCTTTGTGAGGGGCAGGCAGGCGGGGGCCCTTGGAGAATGGAAGGAAGGCCCTTTCTGTTACTAAACCTTCGGAACTACCTGGAACATCAGATGTCTACCATAAGTCCATTTACTTGAGGAGAATTAGGGATTTGGGAATGGTCCGGTCTCCTGTTTGGCGTTCCACATGTTCTAGGAGCAATCATTTAAAAAAACATTTTATATTACTTAAGTAACCATTCTGCAAACGAGTAAAGCTCATTACTTACTTGATCCAGATACATGCCAGTCTTTACATTCCCTGATGGAAATGTCATTATCTAAGCTTATTTTAATTCTTCCACTATGGGCCTTATTGTCAAATGTTATCTGTGAAGAGAAGAAAAGGATCTAATGCATAACTATTGTTTTTGAAGCCAAAACACCTTTATGCTTTACCTAAGAAACATTTTCTTCAAGGGGACAGGAGAGCCAGATTCTTATTTCTAACCTGTGGCTAACTGTTCAACCTGGGGAAGTTCCTTTTATTTCTCTAAGTGAGAAGGCTGACCTTCTGTAGAGACCTTTTTGTGTCTACAGCCTTGTGTTTGTAGGACAGCATCCCAGTCCTGGACAAGAATGCTAGCCTAAGCAAGAAAGTACTTATACATTCTAGCACATTCTAGCCCAGGTGCAGGAGTACTTCCCCCTCCCTCCCATTCTGAGCACCTCCAGTTGCCCTCCTGATAACAAGAGTTTGTCCAAATGTGTCTCCTCCATCTTCCAGCAAGGCCTCAGCTAGGGATAGATTTTTAGTGCTCCTGCCATTTGTAAAAACATGGAGGCTCACTATTGAGGCATTTCGGGTGGAGGTTTTCCAGTTTTCCTTCTGGGTCTACCTGGATTTCTTAGTCACTTCAGTAGTGTGTGTGTTGCAAAGTGTTTGGTGACAGGAAGTTGCCAGCCACCAAGCAGGCCAGAGCTCTGCCAGAACACCTGCCCCACCCTCCTGATGTCTTTCCCTTCCAGCCTCCTCCCCTCTGTTTGTGCTGGGAAAGGGAAAGTCACGCAGGAAAGTCAGCCCATTTTTGTTTGCCTCCTCTGAGTCCTAAAGAAAACAGCTTTTCAAATATGTGTCACTTAAATGAATTTCACTGCAGTTTCTCCATGTGAGGTCATCAGATTTCAGGTGTTAAGACTTTAAAGGACTTTAAGGAATCTCCTCATGATGGCTGTAGGCTTCCTTCCTTGACGAGGTACTGTGGGTATCGTCGGTCTCTGTGGCAGCCGGAGGACCCAGCCTGCAGCCTTACACAGGGAGATGCTGTGTTATCCCCTGAATCAGAAATCCCTGTCAAGCAGAAACCATGCTCTGCCTACACAAAGAGCCTCAAATAGTGGGTCCCTGCCTCCAAGGAGCGTTCACTCTAGCAGAATTGATAAAGACATCTAGAAAATCCCAAAACAAAGGAGAGAGTGGGAAGCACACATATAATGCAAAGGGGTGGGGTGGGGGACAGTAAAGAAAACAAGAACAAAAGATAAACAACAGAAACTTCTCAAAACACCAGGGAGTTCAGAGATAGAATATATTGTAATGGAGGACATACGAAAGGGTATATGAAAAGGTATCAGGATTATGAAAATTCTGAAAAGTGCCATTTCTCAAATTCTAAAGGGAAAGAGGGAGAGGGAATGGGAGAAGACGGGAGGAAAGGGAGAAGACAGAAAACTCTGGGTGATAGCTCAATTTTAAAAAAGCAAAATTGACCATTCATAACTTAGTTAATACTGAAATCAAAATGTATAGCCTAATTCAAATAGTGTTACAGTTTTAGTGTTAGTACTTCTTCTTGTTAAATGTAATGAATATTACATTTACTATATTCTGGAATTGTTTTAACTTCAGTCTCTGAGACCTTGATGTTCCACAGCCAATCAGTTTAGTAGCAGGGGCACAGCGTTTTATACAAACTACAGGTGGAGTCATAGACACCTGGATCCTCTGACAGCAAGTTGCTTCCACGCTGTCCTGCATGACCAAGCAGCCTCAACTCGGATTTTGTGAGGTGACAAACACATGAGAGGCATCTTGTAGCTCTCAAGGGAGTCTAATTACCCCATCAGCACTGGAATACAGAGGGCGTACAAGTGATGGAGCAGGCTGAAGGAGTGAGATGAGCCACAGCATTAGGCGCAATGAGGTATTGCTCACAGAGGAGCGAACACCATGGGGAAGAGACACTGAAAGGAAAGACAAACTCCGGAGTCAGGGAAAGGTTTATTGTCAGCCAACAAGGCTGCCTCTCCGTGTACAAGAGAAACAGCACCCTACAGCAGAAGAATGGATCTTATATAGCCTATCAGAAATGAAGGAGTGAGAACAGTAAATTCCACTGGATAGGGTGAGGGCAATGTGTATGATTGGGCTATCCAGTCACCTGATCTCTGGTAAGTCTGCTGGGCTTCTGAAATGTGCTGGAGGCTAAAGATGGCGCCTCAGATAAGATAGCACCGGTTTACTAACAGACATGGCACAAGAAGCCCTGTCGAAGGCTGTAAGCAGACAGCCACAGGCCTTTATTCCTTTATGTATGTATGTATGTATTTTTCATTCATTCCTTTACTGTTGAGCGTCTACTCTGTGCCAGGCGCCATTCTTGTCCTGGAGACAGCAGTGACTGAGACAAAGCTCCCTGCCCATAGATCATACAGTGAGGTGTAGAAGGCAGGTAACTAACAAGTAAACCAGGAATTACAGCAACACAGATGCAGATGTGTCAGTGTTCTCTCCACCCCAAAGCACATTCAAGTGAAAGCTCCTTACATACGAAACTACACGAGACAATTTTTCTCCAGCAAATTCAGTCTGGCCCACACTTACAGTCAGAGTGAAGTCATAACAGTCAGGGAGCTCCTGATGACGAACTGTCTGCAGATTAATAGCCTTCAGCTTAAACTGCAGCTCCACTGTTAGGAGCCTAGAAAAGAACGGAGATCAGTTCAGTGGAAAGAGACACACACGTAAACATAACTGACGCTCCCGTCTGCTTCCTCACCTGTGGAAGTCCAGTGTTAGGTTGAGTTTATTGTCCTCTGGTGTTCCAATATGAAAAGGCTCTCCAGGCTCTATAAAGAAACACTCTGCCAGAGAAAGGAACAAAAACATGATATTGAACCTCAAATATAAAGCCGTGCTTTGAAAGGATAAATCATTAAGGCCAGTTATTCAGATCCTATATTTTCTGAATTGGGAATTTAGAACCTAGATATCAATACCACCTGATTACAGTGACTCATTTGCTAGGAAGTAGCTTCAACATGTCTGGAGTGCCTGGGTGCTAGGGAAAGAGCTGAACTCCATTGCATTAGAAAGAGAGAGAGAGAGAGACTGGCAGAAAGTTCCCATCTGCTGGTTCATTCCCCAAATTCCCACTACAGCTGAGGGAAACCCAGAGCCAGTAATTCAACACAGGTTTCCCACTTGTGTGACATGGACCCAACTGCTTGATCCATCACCTGCTACTTCCCAGAGTTCACATTAGAAGGAAGCTGGAATTGGGACTCAAACCCAGGCACTCAGATAATGGCTCACTTGGCTAATCCTCCACCTGCAGCGCCGGCACCCCAGGTTCTAGTCCCAGTTGGAGCACTGGGTACTAGTCCCGGTTGCTCCTCTTCTAGTCCAGCTCTCTGCTGTGGCCCAGGAGGGCAGTGGAGGATGGCCCAAGTGCTTGGGTCCCTGCACCCGCATGGGAGACCGGGAGGAAGTACCCGGCTCCTGGCTTCAGATCCGCACAGCGCCGGCCCTAGTGGCCATTAGGGGAGTGAACTAATGGAAGGACGACCTTTCTCTCTGTCTCTCTCTCTCACTGTCTAACTCTGCCTGGAAAAAAAAAAAAATCCCAAATGGTGTCTTGACTACTAGGCCAAATGCCCACCCAAATGCCTCCCTCTCTTGCTGTCTGTTTAAACCTACATGAACTTTGAATTGATCTCTCCCTCCCTTTTCCTGTATCCTGAGTGTAGAATTTGAAACAATTGCAGTACCTAAGACAAGAGTTTCTAGGCAATTCAAGGTCCTTTTTTTTTTTTTTTTAATATTAGGCATTGACAATTTTTCCTAAGGATTTCAAAGAAAGACAGTGTTTTGGAAGATTTTCACTAGTCAGTAGTAAGGAAAAAAATTCTAAATTTAGGCATGCCAATATGGAATGCTAGTGCCCTAAATGGCATCTTAACCATGGCACCAAACACCCATCGCTGGATGGTTATTTTTAACTCAATGACTTTAGCTAATATTTCAAGTACCAATCACAAATACAACTTTGCTAATAAGGATAAGGTATGCTATTCCATGTTCTGGTTCTCATTCCTCCTTCCATCCCAACCTACACCAAAAGAAGCTAAATAGTGAAGTGCTGGGGGGAAGGTAAGGGTATTTTATATGCATTAAAAATTTGTAAGCACTATGTTTTGTATGCCTAGTATCTTCTACTAACTGATTTATCCAGCATGAGAGGCAGTGGAACACAGCAGCTAAGAAAACAGACGAATATTCCAACAGTGCCTCTTATAAGCACCACCTTGAACAAATCACTTACCTCTTGGAGCCATGCCTTAGTCTTCAGTAAAATGGGATTAAAACAAACCTACCTAGTCTAGGTTTGTTTTTTCCTGAGGATTTATGAGTTATTGTGAAGACCCTAAAACAGTAGCTGATGCACAGTAGCTCCTCTACAGTTCTTACCCTAACAGCACAGGCCAAATCAATGTCTTCAAGGATAAAATTACTGGTTTTAAGTCTACATCAAGGAATTAAAGACTGAAGTTTTAGCCCAGAGATGAACATCACCTGTCTCGATTTCTGGATCAATGTCAAAGGTGTCATTCCCAGGACATATGGTTGCTCGCCTGTAGAAGTTCTGACAGACCGCCATGGCAGACGGCTCCAAACCGTGGCTCTCGTATGCGTGATTCCCAACTGAGATGTTGCGCAGCCGCAAGTACTTCAACCAAAGAGAGAAACAGTAACTGGGAACGCGCAAGTGAAGCTGGGATGCACACCCGGCCAGCCTTTGACCCCGGCAGGCTTCCACCTGCCCTCAAGGTCGAGACCTTGACATGCAGATAAATGCCTTGCTGCAGAGCATCAGGAAGGTCATGGGCAAGGAGCACTCAGATTGGAGAGCTCATTTCTCTCACAAACTTTCTGAACTTCTGGTTCCTTCTGTGCGAAATGAAAATCTGCAGTCATGTAATCTTGGAGACTCTTTCCTCCTTTAAAGAATTATGCTCAGAGACTTATTTGCACATTGAGTGAAATGCAAACAGCATTTATCTTGGAACTGTTTTCTGTAAGAGCAGAGTGGTACTTTGCCACTGTAACATAAGACATGGGATACAACTGTTCCAGGCTATCAGCCAGACCTTCCTAAAACAGTACTGATTTGATCCTCATCTTTGCAACAAAACAGTTTAATTACTTTCACAGGAAGACTCCTCTGTGCTAAGAGCTGTAAATAAAACTAAAAAATTGCCTTTACAAATGAGTAATTTGCACTTTGGAATAACTGTTAAATTCTTGATGGATTTATGTAGATATTTCCAGAAACAAAGTCTTTCAGAGTTTACTCTGCTCAATATGTAAGAACTGGCCGTGCAAAGTTGGAGATGGAACTTTCTCTCTTAGAATTAATAGTTTTTGGTTATAGACAAGTGAAAAATAATTCTACTAAAGATGTATGTCAAAGAAATGTTATGATCTGGATCTCCAGGATGAATTCTGAGCTGGACTTGTCAAGGTCAATGAGTAGGATGTTACCACCCCTGATGCTTAATCCGCAGTCTCCAACTAATTTGACTTCTCCATGTACCTGAGGCAGTTGAGTGTTTCTCTATGGGATACTCTGTTCTCTTGACTTCTGGGCCACACGCTGCTTCTTCTTGGTCACCTTTGCTGACTCCTCCTCTCACCAACCTCCCTGTCGCGAGGTGCCCTGTATTCAACCCTTGACTTCCTGATGCGCCTTCTCTCCACAGGTGACACTGAGCAATCCTTTCTTTCATATGCCATCCACACGGACATCTCCAGTCCTGACCTCGCTACTGAATGCCACGCATGGGTATCAATCTGCCCACGTGATGCCAGAGGGACCCATAGGGAACCTCCAACATGAATGTGCAAGTAGAAAGCCCTGATCGTTCCACAGTGATTCCCTTCTCAATAAACAGCTCCAAAAGTCAAGCAATTATTCAAGCCAAAACCGAGGGAACATCCTTCAGTCTCCTTCTCTCATATTCCACCTCCAATGCATTGGAAAGTCACGTACTACTTTCAAATTCTGTCCCCACCGAGTCACCTGGAGGTCTGGAGCCCCTCACCACAAGTCTGACTGCCTCTCCTCACTTTCACTGAAGCCTCCTAACTGGCTTCTTGTTCCCAATCCTGCTTCTCACCCCAGTCTAGTCTCCCACTGGAACTCACAGGACTGAGCAATTTAGTGCAAGGAAGGTCCTTAGCACATTACCCAAAATGTGATCCTGCGCCAGACTCTCGTTTGCTGTTCTTCCTCCCTGGAAAGTTCTTCCCTGGGATAGCCACAGGCTACCTGCCCCCAGCTGTGCCCACTCTCTGTCCACTGCTCACCTTCTCAGAGAGGCCTTCTCTGCCCACCTCTGGTTTTTCATTCTGCCTGCTTCATTTTATTCTTCACAGTATTTATAACCAGCTAACAGGTGATGTCCTTATAGTACTTCCTCACTGCCCATCTTTTTCTATTAGAATAAGACCTCCTTGACTTTATTGATTTGTCCTCTGTAGTATTCCTGTACCCAAGCACCACCTGATACACAACAGACACTAAGTAAATACTGGAGTGAGTACGTGTCTGCTTCTGCTTACGTGTGCTAGAGACTCTCCCCTACAGCAACTGTCCCATGATTTCCCGTCTCTCTCAGCATAAAATTCAAAGCTCCCACCCACACCCTATAAAGCCCCAAGAGACCTGTGTCCTGACTTCTGTGGCACTTTACTTGCCTCCCTGCCCTCACTCACCTCCATCCTATCTGCCTCTCTTGCATTTCCCCAAACATGGCGAGATGCTCCCCTGCCTTGGAGCCTTTGCCCTTGCTACTCCTTCAGCCTGGAATATTCTTCACCTAATGTCACCATTACTGCCTTGTACTGCTTTATTTTTCTTTGTAGCACTCATTACTACACCAGATCAAATTATTTTGGTCAAAGTTCCTTAAAATTCATCTCCCCCAATAGAAGGAGGGCTCAGGACATGGAATTAATCAAGTCCACTGCTCTTAAGCCAACGCTTTAGGCACAGAGTAGGTGTGCAGATATTTTTTGAAGATCATCATGAAATCATTACAGTACAATGACAGCTCCTCCTTACTAATCTCTGCACAACGAGTGGGTGAACTATTAGGAAAGGGTGCAGGATAATGGCACTGAGTTTCTGTGAGCATGTGCACTGAGAAGATGAGCCAGAAATCTATGGTATCAGAAGCAAGCTGCAGCGGCTGTTACACAGACTGTGTTCCACAGGTAGGAGAAAATACCATAATGCTGGGGATATTCCACTTTAAGATTTCTCTATGCCATCGAAGGGACCAAACAGATGGGTATACCTGGACCATTATGTGACAGGGGTAAGAACGCAAAGGGAAGCAGGGGTTGTGAGGCACACAGTCATACCTCGTGAGGGGCCCTGCAGCCTTCTATGTGACTATGACGTATGTGCAGGGCAGCCCCCAGGAGCACCCACAGCTCTCACCACACAATCTGTGTCTTGTGCATTTTGAGAACTTGAAACACAAAAGATCTAAGGCCCAGGGATGCAAGCAGCTATTCACACTACATACTATATGATAGCCAGACTTTCTTGCTGTCTCAAGAAGGCTTGTTGTGGAGATCCGAGCATCTGGCAAGAACAGCGTGGTCAAGGGCAAGAGGCAGGGCTGTGTCCAGCGAAAGGGCAGCTCTGGAGCCTGGGTCTGAGATTGCGAGACAAGAATGTGAGGTGCGAGTGTGGTTTGAAGGTAGGCGACCTGTGGGGCTGCTGGGAAGACTGCACAGGGCACCGAAGTGGCTGTGGCCTCGGTGGGGCTTTCATTGTGCTGGGCACACGTCCCTTTTATAGTTCTGCCTTGGAGAAGGAGTTTTTCACTCAGATCCGGGGTCCCAGGTCCCCCTCTGGGTAATAATATAAAAACACTTTGAAGGTCCCTCGCAGACTAAAACTGCTGGCTCCTTCATGGCAGAGTGCTTATGTGTGGGCTCTCTATAACCACCTGACCTAACACAGATACTGGACCTGTAGAGTTCATTCCCTCATTCACCTCTGAGTGTCTGCTTTGTACTCTGCCTTCATGGAATAAATACATCAGAGGCTGCTTTCTGCACATTCTTAACTAGACAGATATAAATGTGAATGTAGACATAGATACAGATAGATGTAGAGAGATACAGTACATCTATATATATAGGTATATGTAAATATACATATATGCATATATATCATGAAGAATATTAGGCAACAAGATCTGTGATTGTAGGCAAATTGTTTAGAAAGCAAAGGAGGGTGGCCGGCGCCGCGGCTCACTAGGCTAATCCTCCGCCTTGCGGCGCCGGCACACCGAGTTCTAGTCCCGGTCGGGGCACCGGATTCTGTCCCAGTTGCCCCTGTTCCAGGCCAGCTCTCTGCTGTGGCCAGGGAGTGCAGTGGAGGATGGCCCAGGTGCTTGGGCCCTACACCCCATGGGAGACCAGGAGAAACACCTGGCTCCTGCCTACAGATCAGCACGATGCGCCGGCCGCAGTGCGCCAGCCGCGGCGGCCATTAGAGGGTGAACCAACAGTAAAAGGAAGACCTTTCTCTCTGTCTCTCTCTCTCTCTCACTGTCCACTCTGCCTGTCAAAAAAAAAAAAAAAAAGGAGGTAGTAGGGTAGTAGGGTGCAGGGTGCAGGGGGAAGGGGGAGAAGAAGGGCAACTAACCAGAAATAGGTATTTATAAACTATGTTTGAGCTGTCAGAGCAAATGATTACAAGAAGACTTTGAGATTTTTAAGCCTAAGCAACTAAAATAAATAAAATAAAATAAACCTAAGCAACCAACCAGAAAGAGACCCCAGTCTGGGGAGTACGTGGGAGGGGACCCTGAAGCTGCTTTGGGAGGGACGGATGTGAGGTGCTGGTGAGGTGTCGGGCACCCCGCAATGTGAGCAGCTGTTGTGCAGTCACGTCATTACGGTGTCACCAAGCCTGTGCAGCGAGGGAAATTTCTGAGGATTGTACAGTTTTAGAAGGCAGCTGAAAGGGGCCAGTGAAGATGACCCAGAAATGACTGAGGAAACAAGAGGAAAGTCCTGATGCGGTATGGAGTTAGTCCATCACTGTGGCTACAACGCACTACCTGAGAGCAGGAGAGATGAAGAATGGAAGTTCAAGTGGCTCGTGGTTCTGGAAGCTGGGAAGTCGAGAGCATGGCACCAGCATCTGATTGGCAGCTGGTGAGGGCCTTCCTCCTGCATCACGCATGTCAGAGGGCATCCCACGGCAAGACGGAGCAAGTGTGCTCTCGGGTCTTTCTCTTCCTGAAAAACCACTAGTGCCACCACTGGGGCCTACCTCATGACCTCCTCTCATCCTAATTACCCTCCCCAGCCCTTCCAAATACCATCACCATATGAGCTCCCAGCACATCAACTTTTATAGGGCACATTAGTCATAACAGGTATAAAAACAAAATAATTTGGTTTTTGAGATTCAAATAAGGAAGTATATATGATAAACAAAAAGCAACACTTTTATAATCATACTATTGGATCAGAATGGGCCCTTAGATAACACCTTGAGGCTAAACCCTTTAGGAAGATCAGCTACAGAAATACTGTAAGGTGTGTAATACCACTGTCCTTTCCGATGGCTGCTCTCAGTGACAGCCACCTCAACCATGAAGATATTTCCTTAGAGAAAGCAAAGATTCTTCCTGCTTTAAAGTCCATCCACACTTTCCCTATTTAGTTCTCAATAAGTAAATAACTGACCCCATGAACCAGCCACGTGAGTGCAGGTGCCCAAGCACTTGGGCCATCTTCCATTGCTTCCCAAGGACACAAGCAGAGAGCCGGATGGAAAATGAAGCCAGCTGGAGCTCAAACTGGTGCCCACATAGGATTCTGGCATCACAGGCGGTGGATTAACCTGCTGCGCCACAATGTTGGCCCCAACATTATGCTATTTTCCCCTTTAAAATGCAGGACATAATTCCATTTGACCATGTATGCAGCTGATTTCTATTCCCATCGATTTCTGGCCAGTTTTCCCAATCTCGGTATTAACAGAAAGCGTTTGTGCCGTAAGCGTGTACTTCACTGTAGCAAATTACCATCTCACTGTGCATGGGCTGCCTATAGAAAATGAAGAGCCACACCTGAACTATAATCATTTTTGAAGAAGAGTTATAATAATGTTGAAATGTAATCTGCAAACTAACCTGTGTTGGAAATACTAACTTCAAAAGCAATTACAAAATCAGAAATGTGGGATTGTAAAAACATACTAATTGTAGCAAAAGCAGCTGATTAGAAACAAAATAAAAATTTGACTCATCCATATGAAAAATGAGTTTACTTTTTGTTCACCAGTTAGTCAATGTCACAACAAAATCACTTTCATGTATGATATAAAGGCCTTGCTTATTTTTAGATGAATTTTGGGTCTTGGTTGCCACCCAGACCTCGCAAAGTTAATAATCTCATAATTCACTAGGGGTCTCTGAAAAGACAGGCTCTGCAGAGTTAATGACTACTTTTAACCAGGGTCATGGTTAGTAATTTAATTCTTTGAGGCTCCTCTGCCAAGCCCTAGCTCTGACTCTTTTAATTAAGTGCTTAAAGGTTCCTATTGCTATTGCTAAGCAAAAGCTTTTGGCAATTTCTAGTTTATAAAAGTTGGTGAAAAATATTTTTTTAAAACTGGTCTTACACAAAGTCATTTCCAAGCAGAAATGTTCACCCTTCTACATTTGAATATTAATTTCTATTGCATACATAGCCACCATTTTTCCAGTCTGCTCTTTGTCCCAACTAAAGAACACACTCAATTGAGTTACCTGGTTCACGGCGAAGACGATCTGATCGTATACATCGCGCTGTGTGTACACTGCATATGTGTCCTCCATTCGGTCTGTATATCCTTTCAGGAAGAGGTGTTTGAATGCTACAGTGTTCTCCTCCTTGAAAGCTACCACCATCTGGTTACTTAGCCCAAAAAAGACCAGCTTAAAAGAAAAAAGCGAAAGTAAGAGGTGAAAAATGTGAGCAGAAAAAGTGGAGGTTGACGAGGCAGGGGCTTGAATGACAGGTGGAAGAGCTTAAAATAAATTCTGTAGAACCTCAAGAAGTTCTGTAGCAGGTACATATACACTGTAAGAGAGCCCAAGACCTATGACCAAACTAGGTTTAATTGTGACAATTAAACCAAAAATGGAAGATACGCTTTCAACTTCTCTCTAAAGTACAGTCACATATATAAGGTGTCCTTACTATTCCTGCAAGATCGACCCCAGAACTTTCCATGAATTCAGCTGTTCACACACACACAGTTTTCACTGCACTTCTGTGGTTACACCCAGAAGCTTACTTGGCTCCAAGTCTCTCTTTCATCTTTTCTTCCCTCTCAATTTCAATCTCTCTCTCCCTCCCCCCCCCCCCACCACAAGACACAGGCTGTAGGCTTAGAAAATACACCTTGACTCTGAGCCCAGAGGGAGGAGGCAATGTGTATGCCACACACTGTCCCAGGAAATTTCCTCATACTAATCCCACAGAAAAGTTCCTAATATAACAATACTGTAAGGGCTCAGAAAACCTAGTTATTCTTTCGATCACCAGGAAATGTGTACTCAAAACTGGTAGCCATTTCTGGCAGACTAAATCCAAGCACTGCCCTAAATAATAACAAAAATCAACCTATCACATCTATTTTCCCCATGAAATTCTGCTTTTATTTTTGCCCCTTTTCTTTAAAAGAGACAATTATTCTCACCAGCAAGAAAATATATTTTCCTAAGAACACATCAGAATCAGTATATTCAAGAATCACAAAATAGTTGCCCAAAACAGGTTTCAAGAAATCAAGGAGATGAGATTAATTTCCATTAACTACAGAATGAAGTCCCACAGTTCACTAGCTGATGCCACTCCTCTTTTGTTAATGCCACCTTCTTCCACTGCCTGGTTCTGAGAATCCAAGAACTTGCCTGTAACAGAAAGCCTTGGAGTTTCTGAAGGGAAACTCCCAGGGAACTGGTTAGGAGGGAGAAGAAAGCCCTCGGGTTGGGAAACCACTGATTTTCAAGGCAGATTTAGGAACTCTCAGTTGAACTTCACTGGAAGTCAAATATTAAAATTGTCTTTTCCCGACAACTAATTCGAATATGTGACTAAAATCACAACTTAATGAAAGATGAAAAGGAACAAAGTAAGGAGATAGTCTCTTCATATTTGAAGAGATGAGTTTAAGATCATCTACATCCTTATTTATTGTTCTCTATTATGCACTCAAAAAAGTTATTTGAAAAAACCATTGCCCATAGTTCTCTGTTATTAACAGAGGCTTTCATCAAACTCACGACTTGAGATGCTTACCTGTATAGTCACCATTGCGATTTTTAGGATTTGTATGGCAAGTTTCCACGGTTTTCTGCCTCGCGCCCAGAACTTCTCACAGGGATTCATGAAAAAAAATTTGAGTTTTCGCCTCATCTGGTCTTCTAATAGAAGCTCCGCAGACGGAGACGCACGCTGCTGACAAGTGCAGCCGTTTTCCCCTTCGTGGAAGCTGCAGCTACGTGTGACTACCTCCGGATGTGCCATCTCTAGGGAGGGAGAAAGCGACATTCTCATCAGTGAGGAAAGGCACACGTCCTCACTGCTACAGGAAGACATCCCAGCAACACATCTGGTTTCACACAGGCACCACTGTTCTGGCTGTACTTTACACATTTACAGAATCAGAATATAAGATGTTTTCATATTTGTTTTCATTACAAAGTGAATATTCACCTCGCTGAAAGCAACCATATTCAAAGGCTGCTCCTAATGAGCCAAAGAATGTATGTATGTCTACACAGGATATATATGCTGCCTGCCTCATTCATCAACAGATATAGTTAGGGCCAGCACTGGAGACTCATAGACTGGGCAAGACTTCAGAGAGTAGGTGGGCCCTGAAATGTTATACAAAATTTTGTTATATAGGATATGGCCAGTTTCCCCCTGGGAGAAACTAAAACTTTCATCAGATTATTTAAACACACACACATACACACACACACACACACACGGTTTAAAGCCACTGAGTTTAAAAGGTAAGTAGGGCATAAAGTAGAGAACCAAGATATGGTTTTGTTTTCAGTCAGACTTTAGCAACTTGACACTTGTGTGATCTGAGGCAGGTCACAGCTCCTCTGAGACTCTGCCTTCTCTCCTGGAAAAACGGGAACAATAGCACTTACCCTCATATAACCTACTGACCCACACCCCTGGTAGCCAGAGCAGCTTTCTAAACAGCCAACAAGCTTCTGAAGGGGCAGTGCGAGCCTTGGGGAACTTAAATGTTCCACAAATAGGATCACAGACACTCAATTCAATCTAGTTCCTTACCACGAATTCACCCTTATTTGCTTTTTATTGAAGGTCTTGTATTAGAAGCACAGTTTACTTTTTAAAGTACTTTATTCTTATTATTTCTTTTGTCCCTTTGAAAAGATTGAAGCTGGTTTTATTGTCTTCATAACCACCTTTTCTAAAACCGCAAGATACCCATCTTGGATTTCCCCTCAGACTAATCTTGATAATTTGGAAACCTGCTCAAAAACCAAATACCCCAAACCACCAGGACAGTAGATAGAGTCTTTCCATACAGGATAGAAAGGCTAGCATTGTTTGACATTTTTATCATAACTCATACTTGCAATCGAGAGAATTTAACCTGCAGTCATACAGTATCTGACTAGCCACTTTTTAGGCACCACCCTTTCCAAGTCTCAAAAAAAGTTAACTTTTGATTCTAATTCAGACATTCTTAGCAAATTCAACATTTCAAAATAAGAGATACTGCCTCTAAAAACTAGCCACAGGGAAAGGTGCTAAGGTACTTTTTTAAAGAAAAGATTTATTCATTTTTATTATTTGAAAGGCAAAATGATGGGTGGGGGAGGCAGACAGAGAGAGGGAGAGAGAGATTGACAGTTCTTCCATCTGCTGGTTCACTCCCCAGTCTCCACAACAGCCAGGACTGCGCCAGGCTGAAACCAGGGGCCAGAAATGACATTCACGTTTCCCACTTCCTTAGCAGGGACCCACGGCATGCATTAGTAGGAAGCTGGATTTGGAAGCAGAGGAGCCAGGGCTCGAACTGGCGCTCCAAATGGGACACAGGCGTCCCAAATGACAGCTTAACCAGCTGCACCACAACACCCACCCGTTTTAAAACTTGATTATGAAAAGATTAATTAGATACTGCTGAGTGAGAAAAGCATCTTTACCAGCAAGCACATGCAGTACCTTCTCGAAGTTAAATTGCAGCTCACATGTGTATGCGGTAAAATGCCTATCAAAGTGTAAGTTCTAGGGGCAGGAGTTTTGCCAAGTGGTTGAGACATTAGAGTACTGGAACTTCGTATTGCAGTGTCAGGGCTCCTGTCCTGGTTCTGCTCCTGATCCCAGCTTCCTGGCAATGCAAACTCTGGCAGGCAGCAGATGGTGGCTCAGACCCTTTGGTTCCTGCCACCCATGTGGGAAATCTGGACTGAGTTCCTGGCACCCTGCTACAGCCCCAGCTGTTGCAGGCATTTGAGAAATGAACAGGGAGATAGGGAGATGGGAGTGCATACTGACTCCCACCCTCCCTCTCGCTCTCAAATTTAAAGATGTTTTTAAAAAATAAATAAAAACATAAAGGCATAAAGGAAGAAAAAAAAAGTATGAATTCCTTAGGATTTTCACTCCAGAACATTTTATTTGCTTCTTCCAAAAGGCAGTATACATTAGCCAGAACCTAAACAGATTTTATCCATGGGGCTTAAAACAAAAATGATTTTACGTTGATAAAACCTTGAACGCCAACATCCTAATGAAGTCGTAAATAACAACACACGTTGGTCACATCGCGGCCTTTCCATTTTGATACGGGGAAAAATTAAACTTTAAACAAACCAACTACATCGTGTAACAGTAGCCCACAGGAACAAAGGGATACCGTTCATTTACTCAGCACGTCTCACCAAGCTGTTCCAGAAGCAAGACGTGTTGTCCACAGGGGCTGGCTGCGAAACTCGCTGGCTCACCCCGACTCAAAAGTCCTTTCAGAACTGCAAAGGTGCGGGCCATCGGCTTCTGTCCCCTGGTCCCTGTCCTTCCGTCCTCTGCCCCTGGCCTCAGGCTGGCTCCCACAAGCTTCAGCCGGCAGGCGCCTCTGACTTATTCATGGTAGGTAGCCGCTTAACTGGATTGAGTTGCAGACAGAGAAAGCCGGCCAGCTTGTGTCTGTAGCAAAAGCCTCACAGGTGGTCACCGTCTGCCTCCCCCTGCCCTTTTCTTTTTTCTCCTTGCTTCCACCCTCCCCAGCCTCGGTGAGGACGGGCTGGCCGGGTGAGCCTCCTATCCCCGGCCCCGCCTCGGAGCTCCTTAGACGGCGGGCCTCGTGCCGGCGGCTGCTCCAGCCCCCATTTCCATCCGTCCCTACGCCTCTGCTCCAGGGAGGACCCGAGTGAGGCATCAACAAGACCGCCTCTGAGCCCCTCGCTGCATGCAGACAACCGCTCGCGCCCCACACTCCGGGGCAGAGGCTCTGGCCCGGGGTGGCCTCCATGCTCCCCAAGCCCTCGGCTCGCAAGCCGCAGCCTCTGCACAGGCTAAACCGGGCGGCACGCGAGCCGACCACCCGGCCCTGACCCGACGCCGGTCCGTGTGCACCCCTTGCTGACCTCTGTCCCGCGGCGGAGCCGGCGCAGTGCGGAACGCCTGCATCTCGCACCCCGCTGGCACCTCAGTGCCCGCCATGGCGCCGGCGTCCGGGCGCCCGAGCTTCGCGCCCAGCTCCTGGAGTGACCGCCCGCCCGCGCCATCGCGGCCCCTCCCTGCGTGCCGTGGCCGCCGCTCCCACGACACCTGGGGCCTCCGCAGTGCGCCCGCGCGGCTCACCTGCGGCCCGGGGCGGAGGGCGCGCCCGGCGGGGAGGCGTCGGGTCCCCTCAGTCGCCGGGACGAGCCGGCCAGCGCGCAGCTCCCGCGGCCCCGGAGGCCCTGCTGAGCCCAGAGTCCGCCCCGAGCCTGGCATCCTCCCTCCGCGGCCGCTTTCCCTCGTGACCCTCCTTCCAGTAGCCCGCGTTCCGCACCACGCCCTTTCTGGACCGCCCCTCAGGAGGGGCGGCGGGGCCCGGGGAGGCCGTCGGAAGGGACTTGGCGCTGGCCCCGGGGCTCTGGCACCCTTCGCGACCCGCCGGTTCACCCTAAGCAGCCCGCACTGACCCCCTCCGAGCTCTTCGCTTTGCACAGGAGCCGCCGCTGCTCTGTGCCAGGGCGTGGGCTCCAGGCTTCAGAGCCGCCCCGGGGGCCAACCCTGTCTGGCGGTCTTGGGGCTGCAGCTCCTTCTGGGACAGCCAAACCCGGCCCCCGGTGGGCACTCAAGCCCGCATGCAGCGGTCCACCTGGATTTTCGCGTACCAGGTGGAAACACGAAACCTAAGACACTTCAGGCCTGGACCTTGGACCCTCCCTGGGCTTTCTGGCTTCACATGAGTTCTGAGAATGGAGTGGACTGTCGACTGGACTCTTCCGTAGACTGGGTGCCAGGGCGGAGGGAGCCCTGCCAGGCTCCTAGGGGGGAAAAATGTGAGAAGTAAATGCCTGAGTAGCCTTTGACCTAGAACCTTTTTTTTCATTATTTCTTTTTAAAGATCTGACCTTAGTGTACTCCTTAACGAGAATGGATCGGGAACTTTGGTTAATTTCAATTACAGTCATTTTGGATTTATTTTAATTTTTAAATATTTATTATTTTTGGCGTGGATAAGTTTATAAAGATCGCTGAATCCCCCTAACAGGGTATCAAGAATTGTCAAACCTTCTACAAAATCTTTTTTTCAAATCTTAAACCAGTTTGCATGGACAATTTATAATGAGAAATCTCTTATCTTGGGCTGAATCCCAAGTGCTATGAACAAGGTAGATACCCAAAGGATATAATTGGCACAGCCAGTTCTCAAGTGTAATGTGGGAATTAGTTTAATCTCTAATGCCCATGTGCCTCCACAGAATTTAACACCATCTCCTTCCTGTAGCAATGGAGTTACTGTGATGGGCTTGGTTTTTCAGCTAAAATCCCAAGCTTAGAGAGATTCAGGCATAAATGACAACCTTCACTTAATCCTAGTTTAGCTGAATTGTGTAGACCCTTCCTTCCTTCCTCCTCCTTCCTGCCCTTTCTTTCTCTTTCTTTTTTTTAAGGATTTATTTTTATTTATTTGAAAGTGGAATTAGAGAGAGAGAGAGAGAGAGAATATCTTACATCCACTGGTTCACTCCCCAAGTGGCAGAAGCCAGGAGCTTCTTCCAGGTCTCCAACATGGTTGCAGGGGCACTTGGGCAATGTGCTGCTGCTTTCCCAGGCACACAAGCAGGGAGCTGGCTTGGAAGTAGAACAGTGGACCTGAACCAGAGCCTATATGGAATACTAGTGCTGCAGGCGGCAGCTCAACCTGTTGTGCCACAACGCTGGCCCCTGTCTTTATCTCTTGAGGAAGACCTAAATTGATGAAAAGATCACCTATGTTCTTAAATTACAGGACAGTATTTTTAGATGTTACTCCTCATGGAATTCATTTATATACTCAACCCAATGTCAATGAAAATTGCAGCAAGATATTTTTAGACCAAACTTTTTCTAAAATTCAGAGAAATGCAATGAACCTAGAGTGACCAAAGCAAATTTTTTTAAAAGAAGGACAAAATTGTAGGATTTACCTGATGTGATTTCAAGACTTATCAAATAGCTATATAAGCAAAACAGTTTGGTATTGCCGAAAAACAATGTATAGAGTATATATGAATGTGGACAATGGAGCAGAACGGAGTTCACAAAGAGGCTAATGTGTATATAGTCAATTGATTGTGACAAAGATGTCAAGGAAGAAAGTAAACCTTGACAATCAATGTAGTGGTGGTACTAGATCAAAAGAATACATGGATATCAAGTCAAAACAAAGACAGGAAGCTCATATTCAGAGCCAAAAGTTTAGGTAAACATTTATGGAAAGCAAGACAACCACACATAAAAGAGATGTAGTTAAGATCTAATCTGGGCCAGCGCCTCGGCTCAATAGGCTAATCCTCCACCTGCGGCGCCGGCACACCGGGTTCTAGTCCTGGTCGGGGCACCGGATTCTGTCCCGGTTGCCCCTCTTCCAGGCCAGCTCTCGCTCGGGAAGGCAGTGGAGGATGGCCCAAGTACTTGGGCCCTGTACCCCATGGGAGACCAGGAGAAGCACCTGGCTCCTGCTTTCCAATCAGCGCAGTGTGCCGGCCGCGGCGGCCATTGGAGGGTGAACCAACGGCAAAGGAAGACCTTTCTCTCTGTCTCTCTCTCTCTCACTGTCCACTCTGCCTGTCAAAAAATTAAAAAAATTTAAAAATTTTAAAAAAGATCTAATCTGTCAGTCTTACTTTCAGCTTTTGCTATGCTATTAACTGTGTCTTTTTGGACATGCTAATGGTTCATTTTTGCAAATAGAATGAACATTTATCAGTATGACATACATTGTGCTAATCCTATGAATGGTATTTCAGGCAAGGAGTGTTGAGAGCAAAACAAGTCCCCAAATTAGAATTTCAACATACAATTCTATGTGATGCTGTTGCTCTTGCTGTTGCTAGGAGATCCAAATGTTATATTATTTGACATTACTGAGTCATGTTTGCTGCAGTTTCCAGTCTTGGAATACAGTTATGAACCACATAAAGACATTTCGATCATCAGTGGACTGCAGATCCAACCATGGTCCCATGACACTACACTAGAGCTGAAAATGCCTGTTGCCTAGTGATTCCATATCCATCTTAACACTGCAGCAGAACCCATTACTCATACATTTGAGGTGATGCTGTGTAAACAAACCTACTATACTAGCAGAGTATAAAAGTGCAACACACACAATTATGTACAGTGTGTGATGCTTGACAATAACAAACAACTGTTACTGGATGAAACATTCACTATGCTCTACTTTTTATTGTTATCTTAAAGTGTACTTCTTCCACTTGTCTATTAAAAAGTTAGCTGTACAATAGCCCAAAGCAGGTCCTACAGGAGGTGTTCTAGAGGGGTCATTGTTATCATAGAGGATGATATAGAGGATAACCAAAAACCGTCCAGTGGGACAAGATAAGGAGGTGGAAGGTAGTGACACTGATGATCCGCACCCTGTGTAGGCCTAATATCTGCTTGTGTCTTAGTTAACAAAATATAAATTTAAAAAATAGAAAAAAGATTATAGAATAGGGATGTAAAGAAAAACAATATGTTTGCACTGTAGCAAATGTGTTTGTGTTTGCAGCTGAGTATTAAAAGAGACAAAAAGGGTTTTTTAAAGATTTTTTAAAATTTATTTTGAGAAAGTAACATATACAGACAGTGAGAGGGAGAGACAAAGAGAGAAAGGTCTTCTTTCTGTTGGTTTACTCCCCAGATGGCCGCAACGGCCGGAGTTCTGCCAATCTGAAGCCAGGAGCCAGGTGCTTCTTCCAGGTCTCCCACGTGGATGCAGGGGCCCAAGGACTTGGGCCATTTTCCACTGCTTTCCCAGGCCATGCAGAGAGCTGCATCAGAAGAAGAGCAGCTGGGACTAGAACCAGCACCCATATGGGATGTCTGCGCCAAGGCCGGAGAATTAACCTACTGCACCACAGCGCCGGCCCCTCAAAGAGTTTTCAGAGGACTACACTATGGCATAGCAGGTAAAGCCGCTGCCAACTGTGCCAGCATCCCATATGGGTGCTAGTTTGAGTCCCGGCTGCCCCCACTTCTGATCCAGCTCCCTGTTAATGCAGCTGGGAAAGCAGTAGAAGATGGCCCAAGTACTTGGGCACCTGCACCCATGTGGGAGACCCAGAGGAAGCTCCTGGCTCCCGGCTTCTGATCACCCTTGCTCTGGCCATTGTAACCATTTGGGGAGTGAACCAGCAGACTGAAGATCTTTCTCTCTGTCTCTCTTTCTCTCTCTCACTCTACCTTTCAAATAAATAAATAAATCTTAAAAAAGAAAGAAAGCAACATAGCACCTGATTGTATAACTACAAAATTTTTTAAAAGTTTAAAAAATCTTTTTTAAAATTTATCAAGTAACAAAGTGGAGCCACTGTTGGGGCACAGTGGGTTAAGCTGCTGGTTATAATGCCAGCATCCCATTTCAGAGTGTCGCTTCAAAGTCTTGGCTACTCCACTTCCGAACAAACTCCAGGCTAATGTGCCTGGGAAAGCAGTGGAAGGTGGCCCAAGTGCTTGGGTTCCTGCCAACCAGGTGGGAGGCCCAGATGGAGTTTTTTTGGTGTGTTTTGTTTTGTTTTGTTTTGTTTTGTTTTTTGGTTCATATCCTGGCTGTTCTGCTTTTTATCCAGCTCTCTGCTGTGGCCTGGGAGAGCAGTGGAAGATGGCCCGAGTCCTTGGGCCCTGCACCCTTGTGGGAGACCTGGAAGAAGCTCCTGGCTCCTGGCTTTGGATCGGCTCAGCTCCAGCCATTGCAGCCATCTGGGGAGTGAACCAGCAATGGAGGACTCTCTCTCTCTCTCTCTCTCTCTGCCTCTCCTTCTCTCTTTTTTTTTTTTTAAAAAGAGATTTATTTATTTATTTATTTATTTGAAAGCCAGAGTTGCAGAGGCAGAGAGAGAGAAGTCTTCTATCCGCTGGTTCACTCCCCAGAAGGCCACAATGGCCAGAACTGCACTGATCTGAAGCCAGGAGCCAGGACTTTGTTCCAGGTTGCCCATGAGGGTGCAGGGGCCCAAGTACTTGGGCCATCTTTCACTGCTTTCCCAGGCCATAGCAGAGAGCTGGATCAGAAGTGAAGCAGCTGGTCTCAAACTGGCACCCATATGGGATGCCAGCACTACAGGTGGCGGTTTTACTCACTACACCACAGCACCAGCCTACAGATGAAGTTTTAGGCTCCTGGCTTCATCCTGGCTCATTCCATCATGGCCATTTGGGGATTGAACCAGCATATGGAAGATTCTCTCTCTCTCTTTCTCTCTTTCTCTTTCCCTCCCTCCTTCTCTCTCTCTCTCTCTCTCTCTCTCTCTCTCTCTCTCCCTCTCTTTCCCTCTCTCTCTCCCTTCCTCCTTTCCTCCCTCTCTGCCCTTGCAGAACTTACATTT